ACAGTTCCCCACATCGTACGGATACGATGGGTAAAACACGACGTATGGATAAGGTTAAAACCAAGCAGCCAGAATCGTGTCTAAAAAAAAGGAAGAACGGCCATACCTCCCCGATTTTAGAATACTCCATTGGGCACCAACAACAGCTATTGAAGAAGTACTAACACGATTGTTGTTCTTTGTCATAAAATGTGTTAACAATAAAGCCCCCCCCCCTCTCTATTTCGAGCGACCTCATTCAAATGTATGTTCAACAAAAGTATCTAAGATCCAGATATGAGTCTCTTGTGAAAGCATCTTATTGGGAGGGAGGTTACAATTTGCTAGGAGGAGGTCCTTTTCTCATCTAGCTCCATTTCTATAATTCTCTTCCACAACATTTGATGGTTACAAAAGTCAAAATCGAAGTTCTAAAAACCATTCAATTTATAACCATTCTTCATAAAATGCCACTTTAACAGTTAGTCTTTATTTAGTATTCTTATCATGTTCTTAATATGATTTATATTGTCATCAATTGTACTGTAATTATTGCACAGTGTCTGTGGTACAGCATAATGTGCTGAGCTACTCTTTCATCTGTTCTGTGCGCCAAACCTACCAAAGAGAAAGCACAAAGAAATGGTCGCTTTTAAGCATAAGGAGGCTATCTCGAAAAATGCGGTTTTGAGAAAATCGAAGGTAAAGTTATTGCCCCTTGTTCAGTTTCATTAAAAGACAAGGAAAGTTTTCTCTATAACCAAGCAAATATATACACGAATGAAAACAAGCTTCTCCTATTGGTAGGGCAAAGCCCACTTTCGAAGTGGGTCAAGATTTCTGGAAACCACCGAAATCTGGGTTAGCCCGCTTGTCCTTAAGAAGCGACCAAACGTTGTTGAAGCAGGAAACACTTTTAACAAAAACAAGCAAATAGTGATGATACACGGGAAGAGAAAGAACAGAATTTAGGCTTTTGCGCAAAAGCCAACTGCGGGCTATAAAACAAAAGACCGTAAACACTACATCCCAATCTAATACACGAAGAGAGGAGAGTATCCCCTGTTCATTTTTAAGGCTTTTTAAATGTCAGGGGAAAGTCATGCTTCTCCTTGGAGATGGACATTGCCTCATATTCTATATGTGGAAGAAATTAGCTGAAAAAAGATACTTGTATACATCTGTTCAACACAACTTCTATTCCCCACTTACAGCATTAACTGTGTCCACAGTTTGTGTTGTGTCTCATTATAATTAAATGTATGTAGGCCTAGGCCTATTATGTGAGGCAGTTGGCTGTTTCTTGTACCCTGCTCAGATATTATCAAGTCAAAATGAGAGAGAGATTACACATTATTGTACACTTGTAAAATCTCTCATTAACTTAAGGTCTATATTTCCCATCTTAGAACTACAGTCAAACCTGACCAGACAACCACCTGTGCAGGACAACCACTTGTACAAACGGCTACTTCACCCTTTGCCTTTTTTTCTAAATGATGGAGTTACCCAATAAAGACAACAACTTGTATGTGTAATACTAACACAGCCGCTATATTTTTATCAACTAACAGCCTCAAAAATCTGTCCAAATTGCCACACAAATCTTTCTTCGCATAATGTGTTCAATGAATTATATTATATCCGCCCCATGACATTATGGATGACCCTTCATAATCCATTCATCTATGATCTATCTATCAGTAATGTTAGCCCCTTCGATGAATGAATTTCTCGCCGAACAGCATCAGGTCACTGGTCACTACCACAGTTTCCCTAATTTGACTAGTCGGTAACAAATTTCCAGCTACAGATGAGTGAAGCATGTGAACTGTTAAAATCTATTAGCCCTTCACATAACTGAACGGTTCTCTGACCACACACGAATCACACCGAGTGCCCCTCTGTGTACCCGGTCGGTAACAATGGACGTCAAAATTATCTTAATAATTGATAATAATAGATAGCATTTGCATAGCACAAATCCCCGTTCAACAGCAAGCTCTTTGTGCTTCACAATCTATACTATTACCCCAGCAGACCTGAGCATTCTGAAACAATCTCAACTTCCTTGGAAGCATACAGTGCAAACGGCCATTTATAGGAGCTAAAACATTAACAACATACTGACCAGATATTTCGCTGTCTATGGCCGAGTACCCATTCCCACCTGGGTGAAGTGAGGAAAATTTGTGCAGAGTGCCTTTCCCAAGGACACAACGCCGGGCGTGTGACTTGAAACCCCAAACCCACAACCTCATGATTACGAGTCCGGTAGCCTAACCACTAGGCCACCGACGCTATAGAAGTGTCAGTCATTTGCTAAGAATTTATTTGTTTTAACAAAGGCACTCAGTTTTCGTAGCCTGATTCGTTTCGGGTTTTTTTTTCGTTTTACCCATGCACACCGTCTTCCTCATCTGATACACTTGGAAGAATTTAACACTCACAGCAGTTGTGAAACCTCCCTTTCCGCCCTCACTTCCAAAAGAAAAAAAAACTAAGCCTCACAGTAGTCCTAAGCTTGCCACCATCTCCAGCTGGGACCTCGGAAGGGAACTGTTTGTTTTCTTCATTTTCATCAGTCCTGCCCAAAATGTCCACCTGTCTAAGACAACCACTTTTCTCCTTGACAATGGCCAACAGTCTTGGACAATTTCAACTGTTTAAGATTTTAACGCCTGCCCGTCTCCTCTTTCCAACTTTTAATTGTTGTTTACCTCAATATTCAATATTATTATATATTCAATATGCACCCATTCCGTTTCTATTTCTGATATTTTATCTATTAAAATATTTGTATGGAATACCCAAAACACACATGAAAAAATTAAATGAAAAGATTATACATGATAATGTATAAAATATGTATTTAATGTAATAGGTTGCAATCACCCTGACAGTAAACTGTAAACTCTGTAGTTTTCTTGTAACTTTTCCGAGCACAAATCAGTCAAAGTATTGTCCCTCAGTTTAAAATAAGATGCTTTCAATGTGGCTTCACAAAATGGAAGGAGCGCTGACTAAACAGGACAAACATTGGGTAAGATGAAATCAATACATTGGAACTCATGCTACTGAGCAATTTCACTATGAGAACATGTTTGCATGTGAAAACAAACTAAATATCATGAACGATGAAAGTACAATTGTTCCTGAAAGAGTGGAGCGAGCTTTATTCTGAAAGTGCTGTTCTTTTAACTTTAAAAAAATCTTAAGCACTTTTTAAGGAATGGCACATTTTGAGAGTCAAAGTTATTCATGAAGAGATACACAAAAGGAAAATAAGGATGATAAAGTCTCAGTTTTTTAAAGTTTCACAGCTTCAGATGATTCAGAGTTAATTTTCTTTACAATATCTACATGGTATTAAAGGCAAATTGTGTATTTCATCTTATGATCTGAAAACGAACAATCATTTTTCAAGAACTTTTCCACACATGTTGAACTCTAGCGCAAAACTTGATGTGCCACCATTCGGTCTTTTCACAGACCCTCACACAAATAAGGGCTTCATACTACATCTTAACTTCTCTCTTCATGTCAATGGTCATCAAAAAGTTGAGAGTAGATCTTGACCATTCCAAGGAAGATTATAATTAGTTGTCTATTGTTTATAGCAATGCAATGAGGAGGCCCCAGCATTTTTTTTTTAAAGAGAGACTCAATCATATGAGTGGCAGGGTACAAAAGAATGAATTTCAACACTATTAGACAATACTTCTTCTATACTTGTATTCTTAAACTTTAACATGTCGACCTTTTATTATTTGAAAATAAATAAAACTCCCCTTTTAACCATTTAACCAGCAACCTTGGAATAGAGTAAGTGAATCATATACAAGGTCATTACAAGATCAAATTCCCGATACATAATATATATATATATGGAAATAGAGTAGATAAAGTGGCATTAGCATGACTGCCTCAAAAGGTCAACCAGCTTCGTTATTTAGATGAATACAAAGGCACAATCCCACAGAAGCGACAACTCCTCTTGTAATGTATCAATAACTCAAGCTTTTCTTTCAAGTACCACAGGGACACAAGTCTGTGATATTTTTCTTCCTTTATCAATTAAAAAAAGGAAAATTCCTTTCTAAAGTTGACTGCGGATGAGTAGATGTTGTTAGGGGAGTGAAAAACAGATCAACTCATCCAAAGTTTCAACTTATCCGTTGGACCACAAAACCAAGGGACATAAACAAAATCTGTTCCACTGCTCATAATTGTTTTTAATTTTCGAAGGCTATTGAGGTAAAAATGGTTACAGAGCAATATAGATTAATCACCCCACACTCACAAATTTTGTACCTACGTGTGTGAGTTTGTGTGTGTGTGTGTGTATGAGTGTGTATGTGTGTGAGAGAGAGAAAGAGAGAGAGAGAGAGAGAGAGAGAGAGAGAGAGAGAGAGAGAGAGAGAGAGAGAGAGAGAGAGAGAGAGGGAGGGAGGGAGAGTAGAACAGTTGCAAGTATCCACTGGCGCCAGATACTAACAACACGAGAGTAGAACAGTTGCAAGTATCCACTGGCGCCAGATACTAACAACACGATACTAACATGTACCTCTGCATACCATGGTTATTGCGTAGTGGTGTCAAATACATTACACCCGCTCTAGCGCTCCCCTCACTGTTTCATTGAGGTATATTATGTAGGCCTATCATTGCGTGTTGATCAGCTCTTTATATTATTGTACTTATATGTTATGTTTCACTAGTGTCAAAACTGCTTTAAAATCTGATTTTACACATGGGGAAAAAAATCAATACAACCATTGCATACTTGCTGCTGGGGGTAAAAAAGCACTTCAACTCAAGCGTTTTGATGGTAGTGCTGAACTCAACATAGCAATTAGACTCCAATAAATGTAAAAAGTAAGAAAGGTTGGGACCCGACAAAAAGATAAACTAATCCAAAGATCAACTCAAGCGAGTTTAACACAAGTAGAATCGGCTGTGTAAGCTGACAATAAGGAACTCGAGCATTTCAAACCGACGAAGTTAAAGATTTTTTTCCATGTGAAATCATCGTTACAGTCTCGATTCACAGAATGATTGAGCAAACAATACAGTATAGTATTAAGTAAGTTCTGAATAACATGAGCACTGATTACAAAAGTTGAAGGTACACAATAGCAATGTCCCAGACATCTACAGGTGTCGGACAAAAAATGTACAACAATATGCTGCATCACATCCCGCAACAGCACATATAGAAGATAGGGAGTCAACAATCTTTGTAACAAACTTGAACTAACTGTGGCCCAACAATTAACAAATACATTAAACATTTGTTCTTAGAAAAAAGTTGTGAAGTCAGAGTTGGGACAATAACTAGTTATGTGAATTCTTAAATTCAAACCCAGTGGCCAATGGCACAGTTACAATATCAATAATTTGAACTAACATCAACATTTTAGGCTTTATTCAAACATATTTTCTAAACATAGACATTAATGCACAAGGTTTTCAGGACTTCCGTAGACTGATGTTTACTAAACATACACTGAAATGAAATAATGTTCTATAAATTCTAATCCTTCTTTCTGTTGTATATTTCTCTAAACCATCTCCAGTGCCTGCTTCAGACTATTCTACACGACTCTACAAAAAAGTCAAATAGTCAGCAAACTACATGTACATCTTAAGATAAATCAGAAATTCTGATGCCTCTGTGGACCATCAATAAGATGTGAAACGACCAATTCAATCAAATTAACTGCGTATAAAATATACAAAGAGTTCAAAAGTAATACTGAAAAACTAAAGTTTTGTTATCCAGACATATTTTTAATGAGGCTGTGGAAAATTCACTCTGCACTTAAAACTTAAAAGGATCCCCTGAGCTTTTTCACTACTTTCCGGATCTAGGGAAGCATACAAGTAGGATTTTCATGTAAATGTGGTGGCAATGGATAATGGTAATGCATCTTTACCAATTTTCTTGGCCAAATCACTGCAAATCAATTTCGAGTACAAGTGATCATTATTTTAATGCCTTCTCCTCTCTTTGCAGCCTCAAAAGCCTTGATGGACTCTTCCAGTTTGAACTTGTGTGTAATAAGTGGCTTCACATTCACTTTTCCTGAAGCCACCATGGCCAAGGCTGTGGGATAACTGTGAACAAGATGAGCAAAAAACACAAGCTTAAAATCCCCTGCAACACTCACAAAAGTAATCATTTTCTGTTGATGGTTTGTAGCCCAGAGAATGACACATGTAGGCCTACTGTACTGGCGATAAAAAAAGTACCACTTTTTGGTTGCATATATAAAAACAACATTTTTTTAGTCTTTACACTCTTCTCTTCATGAAAGTACTACAAAGTACTCTAAAAATTAGGTCATGTTATAAAATTAAGATTTTGGTGCCTCAATACGTATTCAAATTCAGCAAATAAAAAATTGGCATTTTCTCCTGACCACATGGTGGACTTTCTCTGTTCTTTGTTCTTTTTAAGAAGTTTAGGTCTGAAGTGTGTCTATCAAAAGCTGCAATAACATTTGATCATTGTCACCCTAGAAAGATACAGTAGTCTCCGCCTAAACGCACGCCATGCAAAAGCACGCTCCGCTCAAACGCACACTTTCGTCATATGACGGGTTTTTTACTATATAATTTAGATGTGCAAACACACGGTCACTCCCTTTAAACACATCCTCCGATCCACAAAACACGGTGACAGGGAAAGCTTGACAAAGGGAAATTTTCACTACAACCTGCACAGCTTGCATTAGACAAGCTTAGAAAACGGACATTTGGTGAGACTGCCCCTCACCCCGAACAAAGAGAGTGATGGACAGCTTTTTCACACTCAACTTTCCCCAGACAGTACAATGGTCTAGGACTGATTAGTGAACTGTTGGGGGGGGGACGGAAATGTTTTTTGATAGGTAACTGGAAATGAATCTTTGAGATAAGGTTTCTGACTGGTGTTTGGGTGAGTGCATCTAATGTTAAGTTAGACCTAGGCCTATGATGCGCAACATGCGTGAATGCTGTAAAACACTAGATAGGCCTCTCTACAGGATTAAAGATTAGTCAAGTAAGCCTAATCAGCTGCCTTCAAAGAGCTTATAACGTACTTGTTCAACAAATCATAAGAGTTCTCTGAATGTAGAGATCTATGATTTTGATGTAGTTCATGAATTTACGGTCGGGGGTGGTCGCTTGGAAAGCCACATGGCTGGGCCGTCGTCTCGATGACTATCACCATCAGTTTCCTCTTAGGCTATCCTGTTCCCGACATTTTATGGTGCATATCATTACATTGAGTCTGTCTTTCTGCCCCCCCCCCCCCCCATTCAACCCCTTTGTATTCTTTACCGCAGTCACGGAATCCTTCACAAAACAGTCACGTGTCGTCGCATTATCGGCCAAAATAACCCCCCACCCTCCAAGGGAGGTCATTAGAATAATAAAGAATTGAGATGACTGCGTCACTTCCCCCCTTTGCACAGGTTCATGCAAACGCACGCTCCGTATAAACACACGCTGAAGAGCCCTCCCGAGCACCGTGCATTTAGGCGAAGACTACTGTAGTAAGTTTAACACAACATCAGAAAGTTGATCCGTCGGCATACTCCACACGTTTTTGCTGTTGCAGTTCATTTAACACATTACACCCTAACTCGCCCGGGATTGCCCAGGAATTCCCTTACGCGCTCCACACTGACTCACCCGGAACCGCCCACGCCGACCCAGCGTCTTTAGAAACGAAGTCTCGCCTTGACGAGACTCTGGGACCGAGATTTTGATTTGCATAGTCAAAGCAAAATGTTTCTTCTTTCGTTTGATACCGAAACGAAATTTTTCGGGCCAGTAGTTTTAGTATTAGAGCTGATCGAAGTGCGATCGCGTTACCGACACTTCGAAAGTGTCTCGACTTGTTGAAAAGCGACACAATTGAGTTCGAAAACGGAAATAACGATGGATTTGAGCAAAATCAAGCATGTGACAAATCAGATGGCTCAGATTTTGATGAAAACGTTGTAGCAAGAGTTTGGGGCGATTCAGATTGATCAGACGTAGAAAATCTAGAATTTAGATCGAGGGCCCGACCGCGAGGCTGAGAGTGAAAGTGACGGGTCGGACACCCCGAATGAACTAAAGTTAGAACATTTCCAACAATTTGCGCATACATAAAGTTATATTTTTCTGAAACTACATTCAGTTTTCTTTTAAACTTTTACTTTTTCAGGATTTTTGGAATTTGTTTAGTATTTTTAAAATGTGTTTTTTAAACGCTTGTATTCACCGGAGGTGGGTTCTTTCCCCTTGCTTAGGATCTAACAATGGACTTCCCGTCCAGGCCCTTAGGGTGTAATGTGTTAACCTCTGTTTTTCTGTTGACGTTGAATGTCCTGGCAACAGCAGAAACACACGGAGCATGACAATGGCATGCTGAAGATAGCAGTTGTGGTTCAACTGGTTATGACTTTGACCAACAATAAGAACTTTTAAGTTTCAATTCATTCCTTAAGTTTTTTCAAGCCAGTCCTGAACAGATCCAGTAGAGTAATCCTTATTCTGTGAAGAAGAGTGACAGACATTTTTTTTTAAAAAGCATTAAAAAACTTACCAGTTGACATATCTGAAAATGCCCCTAATGTCCACTTCTCTAACTCCGGCATTGACCACGGGCATCTCAACATGCTCTTGCCCGAGACCAACCAGTACCACAACTCCCCCAGACTTGGTGGCCTGCCAAAACACACAAAAAGTGTTAGGTGAAATATTTTCAGAAATAATCTACTCACATAGGGCTCCCAGCACAACCAATGGTAATTGGAATTTTAAATACTGTATCATTTAGGCAAAGATTAGGTCAATTGAGAACAAAAGTTTTTTTCAGCTGTGGTTTTATTGCTGAAAAATGTGAACCATAGGTTGAGAATTTCATCTTTGATGCTGCATTGTGAGCACATCCTACAACTTGAAGCTTGAGGTGTGTGTGTGAATTTGACAAATTGTGACACTTTGATCAAAAATTCACATGTCACCATTAATATTGAATAGCTGAATCAAAGTGAAATGGTGAGTAAGGGCAACAGCGGCTGCATCTAACCAGGAACAAATTATAATACGGTCAAACAAAGATAACTTTACACAATTCATGGATAACTCAAACAATAGGTCATTCTCTAACTGAACCACTATATATTTTCTTGTATCGGCAGCACAGAATTCTCAGTCACCCGTATGGATGTGTCAAAAAGCTCATCTCTAAAAGCAGTATCAATTTTTTGTCCACAATTGTCTTGAATTCAAACCACGGTGCATGCACTATGGGTAACAAACACAGCCACATCAAGAGTATCAGGTTACATGAGCCCACCAGGCTCTCTCCCACACTGTGATTCATACACTGCTGGCATTAACCCTTTCCACCCACACAGCGCGCGAAGCGCACTAAACACTTATCCCCCACGGACCAAGGTGCGGGACCCGCTATATCACACCGGCACCAATCGGCGTCCTGTGGGGACATAGTGTTAAGACACATTATCAAACATAATCTGTAGTGTACAAAAGGCACTAGAATTTCCTTGAATCTAGTCACATGAGGGTGGGTCCAGGGTGGTGGGGTGTGATCAAAGACAGAGAGTGGCACACACTTGGCTGTATGGTGTACGAATTATGTGCATGTTCGTTTGACATTGAAGGTATATGTTGAGAAGTGATTACACAAGAGTGGTGAGTTGCCTGCTCTGACCAATGTTGGTTACAATACAAGCTTATCGAGATCTGACGTAAGAGCAATTTTTTACCGGGTAGTCATATGGCTAGTTAAAATCACTCTCTTCCTTTGTCCTACTTTGACACTGAATAAGATGCATACACTATCCACCCTTCAATCCTTTTATCAATACAGAGTACTTCATTTTCATTATGGTAGAGAAGAGAAAATCTTATTGTCTGACAATACAAAGCAAACGTCAAATTTTAGCAGAGGTTGACAAGAAGCCCTAAACTAAAGACAATAATTTGGGTGGTGCCCTCCAACCAGCCCACACAGAAATTACGAGCAGAGCTGCAAACCACACTTGTGTAGAAGCTTTTATCCCCTTCTAAATATACTATACATGATACAAGAATCAAAGCAATCATTTCCTCCTGACCAGAATGGATGGTATCTTCAAACTTGCATAGGACATCTTATCAAATCTACTATGGGACATCCAAACAAGAGACCTTTTCTCTAATTAAACCAAAGCAATAGCAAAATTAGGCACACACCAGTGAAAGCGTTAGCTCAGCAAACAATAACACCAGTGAAAGTGAAAAACTTTAACAAATGTATTATGTACATACATAGACTTGCGTATACCATGCACTCACGCATGCACGCACACACACACACGCATGCACACACACATGCACACACACACACACACACAAACATCCACACACACATGTGTGTTCCTCTATGTACATATTTTTATATGTGTATTGTATCGGTATGCCTTTGATTACTTGTACGTGTCTACTTTTGAATCTTGATATTACTTTTCCCTGTTTGGATGCTCTGTCGTTTTTTTAATTGCCAAAGATACAATTTACAACAGAAACTTACATAAATAGCTGTTTGGAGGCTTGAAGGAGCCCCGCTACACTCAATAGTAATATCTGGCTTCTCTCCCATTGCTTCTTCTACCAGCTGTGCTGTCTGCTGCGCATCACGACTGGTCACCTTGACTGTGTAGTCAGCTCCAAGTTCTTTGGCTTTCTGCAGTCTTGATTCATCAATGTCTAGTCAAGACAAGAAAGAACAATAATAATTTCAATATATAACATTCATATAGCGCATTTCCAAAAAAAGTAGCTCAATGCACTTTACATTGGAATACCCATTTTCAAAACCTTTCTTACTACTTCCTTTCTTCTCCTGCAATATATATTTATACACACACACACACATACACACACACACATACACACACACAGACTACTTTCATTCAGACGTACGCACAGAACGACTGTAATAAAAATAACACTAATAGCTTATGAAGGATAGGCCCGTAAGAACAGAAAATGCTTAAGATGTCTTTTGAAGCTATCAAGTGTTCTTAATATGGAGTAGACAACTACTCAGTTTAAATGACATTTTTGTGAAAAGAGAAAACTAAAAGACACAACTTCTCGCCATGCATAATTTAACTAAATGAAACTATATTTCTAAGGAAAGAGATAAATCTTTTCTAAACTCGTGACTTACAGCTTTTTGTTACTTTTCGATTCCCAGCTACAATTAAAATTTTGGAACTCCTCTAATGTGTAGCCTCATTTTGCCTCAGAAAAGGTACTGCACCAAGTATATCCACTAGAAACTTGCTCACAAATGGGCAATATACTGAGAAGCTAACATTTGGCTCAAGAAAGCCATTGGCACAGCCAGATGTACATACCATCAGCTGAGAGCTAGACCTGACTTATGCCCAAATTCCATGCTTTTGAGAAAATGGATTTTAAAGGCAAAGTGAGAATTTGAAAAGCTTCGACACACAATTAATCATGACTGTTTAGTTTTAGTAAGAGTTTTATAGCACTAGCAAGACAATAAGGTCATAAAAATGCCGAAGATTAGAGGTGTTACAAACGTGTAACAAGCACAGAAAAAGGAGAGATCAGGACGATAGATGTTTGATAGGAAAAAAGGAGCAAACCACACCAGAGCACTCGCACACCACCCACAATCATGACTGTGACAAAACTAGTGGGTACATGGGTTAGTTAATTGCTGATATGATGAAATTAAGCTACTATTGGCACTTCAGGTAAAAATAAACATTATCAATTCTGATTCATTGCTGCTATATGTGAATCGCTTAAATGTAGGCAGACATTTTTTAAAAATTTGATACTCACTGAGAAAATTATGCACAGCTTCCCACCACGTAAGACAAGAGAAGATTTAAAAAAGAGGGCAAAATTTATCCCATGGGAGAATCCAAAATCAGTTATGATGAACCAGACATGCATGACCTACCTGTAACACACACTACAGAGGCTCCTTTGGCCTTTGCAGTTAGAATGTTTACAAGACCAATTGGACCTGCAATGTGCAAAAGAGTGTTCGTATTCAGTTGGAAAGCATGGAATGACTCTGTTGAGACTCTTTTGAAGTAGATGACAATACTATAACCAGTGGGCAACCGATATCTAATGATTTGGGTAAAAATTTCCACAAACTAAACAAATATCATGTCGATGCCTGATTTCTAAAGTACAGAACCGTCGAAAAGGCAAATTAAATTGTTACCAACTCATCCACTTTGGTAAACACTGGGGGGGGGGGGGACTGAAAACCTCTCTTTCCCAACAGCAATTGCTTCATTCACAGGAGAGGCAAACAATAACAACAGGCAAAGATATTATAACAACTCGTCCACAGCGTCATCATCATCATCATCATTGCCTTTCTCACCCTGCACCAGGGTATAGGCCACGGACAAACACCTTCCACCTTTCTCTATCCTGGGCTAGCCTCTTGATGTTGTTCCATGTATTCCCACTTTTCTGTACATCAATTTCTGTGATTCTTCTCCAGGTTCTACGCGGTCTTCCCCTTGATCTCTTACCCTGTGGGTCCCAATCCAAAACTTTCTTTGTTATGCAGTTGCCTGACTTCCTGAGAGTATGTCCAATCCATCGCCACCGCCTTCTTCCTACCTCCTCTCTGACTGGGATGTGTCTTGTTTTCCTTAAAACTTCCACATTGGTGACCCTGTCTGTCCATCTGACCCTCTGTAACTTTCTTAGACACCTGTTCAAGAAAACCTGGATCCTCTTTATGCAAGTCTGTGATGCGATCCATGTCTCACATCCATACAACAGGACCGACTTCACATTTGAATTGAAAATCCTCAGCTTTGTTCGAAGTGAGATATCTCTGGTCTTCCAAATCCTATCCAAAGATATGAAAGCAGCCTGTGCTTTTCCAATGCGGGACTTTATTTCAGCACCTGTTCCTCCCTCTTTGTCAATTATACTCCCAAGATTGCAGAAGGATTCAACGTTTCCTAGTGCCCACAGCATCAGGGACTGATAAATAATTTAAGGCAACAGGTCGGGCAATGAGAGATTGGACAAGATTTTTTTGCCTTTTGGTTGGTAAAATATAGTGGCCGCCACCACGTTGGACAGTTATCGTCTTTTGGGAATGCCATTATATAGAAAAAGTGCAAGGAGAAGTGGAAAGTGGCTGTTTGAACAGGTGGTTGTCTTCTACTGGTGGCCATGTGGGCAGGTTCCACTGTACATAAGAAAGGGTGTATTATATTAAAAATATAACCCAGAAAAAAAGTAAAAATTGAACCAGAATTATATTGATATATTCTTTGCTTAGAATCAAACAACACATTCAGGATGGCCAAACTAGGCACACAGAAAGAGCAACCAGACAACAGTATCAACTACACTGAAAAAAACCCTCTTATAAATACACTATTTAAAGCACCACAGACACCACACAGCTTCCATGAGCTGTCCCGCCAATACCAAGTGATTATCTTCAGACGAAGAACACAACACATAAGACTGAGATACACATCATGTACAGGTGTTTTAAACTTTCACAATCACCAAAATACCAGTGTGGAGAGGCAGACCAAATTGTGGAGTACATCCTTCAGCACTGCAAGACACACAGGGCTTTGAGACAGGAAATGTGGCCAAAACCACAGCCACTACAAGAGAAGCTGTACAGGCCAACAGATCTACTGAGCAGGACAGCCAGTATATGACAGATACCATACTACAAGTGTGATGCTATCGAAAAGAAGAAGAAACAACACATTCTTCTCTGTCACATCAAAAGCTGTGGTATTACAGTTATCACTGTCACAGAAAGGTATTCATTTAAGTCCTGAGGCAAGGTGTAAGTCTTGAATGATTTATTTTGTTTCAGTCCTTTCTGGAACATTGAAGAATGTGTCTACAGGCCTGGATACATTACATTTCAGCTGATAGACTAGCTTGTTGATCAAGCCAGTAGAGAAGATCTGAACTTGCAGAAAGCTTTCTGTCATATAGTTTCATGCTGCTTTGCGCTGCTCACTGCAGTGTGAGAGAGCAACTTGATGATTAAGAGGCAGGCCAAATTTACTGAGACATCCACAAATTCTTTTTAACTTACGGTAGATAAGTTTACTGAGCATTTCAAAGCACAGTCCAAAACAACCTATTTAAGTTATTTGTATAAAAACAAAACCACAACAAATAGCGAACAACTCTTGCAGCCCTCAGACCCCTGAACAAAATCAATCATTGAATTCTAAAATGCAATAAAATATTGAAAACATTAAAAATGTTGAACCAATAAAAGTAATTTTAAAAAATGATTTTAAGACTATAAAAAATCCCAACCCCCTCAATCCATTGTCGCAGCCACTATTACCGGAGCCCCCCTTCCAAGTTTCAATTGGCCTATGAATTAGGATAGCACACAACACTGCCTAGCACGGTCCCAGAAGATCTGAGACAATGCCTCTCTACCAAACTCACTACTAAAGTAATTAAACTGAACTCTGTGACATTACTGTACACAAAGGTTGAGAAGTCACAAGGTTTAGACCATGCAATCCTGTACCTACCAGCTCCACAGATCAGTACTGTGCTGCCCAGTCCAACACCGGCCCTGTTTGTCGCGTGAACACCAACAGACAAAGGTTCCAGCAGAGCACCCTCTTCCAAAGAAACATGGTCCGGCAGCCTGTGTAAATCAAGATGTCAGTTAAAATCTCTCACACTGTACAAGTCAAGTTTTCTCATTGCCCAAAACCACTTCGGGCTACTTTGTCTGACAACATAGTAATCCTGGCAGTGAAAGGGTTACGGTCTATGTAACCATCAGTAACTATACTCATCTCCCAACAACATCCCATAGAGAACCACAGATGAGAACCCTTGTGTTTAAGCATGCCGTTACTCTAAATATTTTCCACACATCTTCTACACAGAAGTAAAAACAATTTTTGCTCTTTTACAAGGCAAATGTTTAGAAGAAGTAAAAACAATTTCAATCTTAGTGATGCTTTTTCAGCCATTAGTAACTATAAAAATGCTGACTGGCAAACTAGTCTAAGGATGGCAGTTGGAAATAAAGGTAAAGTAACGATGCAGTAGTTTGAGCCTACCCAGAGTTATTACAGAGAAATACATTCTATAACAATCTTGAAAAAACAAACAAACAGAAACCACAGAGATAGAAAAGAATGTAGTAAGACACAGTATCAACAGATGAACAAAGATGCAAGATTCAAATATAAGCATTTTATAACCCATTGCAAAACAAGAATAGGCAGCTTTTCAAAAGAATTTTGAGAGTACAAGCATTTCCTTGTTGACGCTTATGCTAACAAATGTAAAAATCAATATGAAACATTTGGACACACATGACTGATGAGATAATCAAGCAAAATCTCACTCATTGTTAACAGAAACAATTACCACAGAAAACAATATCAACAACTGCAAAAACGTATGATAATCTCTATATTATTGTTATAATCTCATATATATATACGCTTACTTAAAGCAAAAATCTGCATCATGGACATAGTAGCGTGCCAAGTTGCCATGATAAGGAGGAGTTGCACAAAATTTCATATCTAGACACAAGTTGTAGCGACCAGTTTTGCAATAGTTGCACATACGGCAGGGGACACCTGGTTCTATTGCTACTCTGTCTCCTAAAGGAAGAAATAGAAAAGTAAAAAAGCATCATTGATGAATTTGTACATGCTGTTACTAATACAAATAATAATACAACAGAAACAGTGAGCAAGTTCAGGTATTCCCAAAAGAAGATTAATTAATTAACAACATTATTTTCCCTTCTCGACTATTGTAATGGACCCTTTCCACTAATTACTAGTACCTCTCAAATCATCATTTTCTAAACCGACCACAATTTAATGAAAAGCAATATTTCTATATTGATCACTATAAATAAGGATTGTATGACAAAAGACAATGAAATAGGTCTTTGTAACAAAACAAAGCATGCTTAAAGCAATTCAGCTCAAATTCACTGACAACCCCATGCATGTACTTGAGCATTTTCCAAAAACCAGGGAAAAAATCTTACAAACAAAATAAAACCAGTGGCAAAATGACAGTTTAGGATTCTTGTTCGCATGTGTTTGGAAAAGAGTGGAATAAATGACCATGAGCTATAAAATAGGATTTAGTAGAGACTTTATCTTGCATATGAGCCGTATTGTCCAAAATATCAGTGGGTTTTTTATGTTTTTAATTGAGGGTCATTCAATGTATACCGAAACTGATTCATATAAATTCAATTTCTCCATTACACCGTCCCTTAGAGACAATTAAGATAAGTTCTACATCAAACTATCACAACACAACATCAACCTTTGTAACACACAAAATACCATTTTATCCACTTATTCTACTTTTGAGTGTTTATTGATAATGAATGCAGTTCGTTCTAGCAAATAACTGAAATGTTATCATGGTATTCTATCTTTTTCACAAATGTTTGTCATCACTGTTATGTATGAGTAATCAACATTTCAACAACAGACACCAGGATATCTCAGAAATCATTTGGCTACTTTCTCTGGCATTTGAAAACCATATCCACAGAATAGTTGTGCATGCATGGACGAAGGTTCATGTAAATTAATCAACATTATTTCATGGCCTCCATGACCCATCTTTTGGGAGCAGCTCATTTATGGAATTATCAGTGAAACTGAATTGGACTGCTTTAGACATGGCTTTGTTTTGTTGTTGGGACATGATATTTTGTCAATTGACTTACAAGACATGAGCAGAGAAAAATAATTTGTTAAGATTTCAGTCCGGCTCTGTTCTTCCATAAACTACATATATACTCAAAGAGAGTATAATGTATGTCTCGATCTTCAAGTGTATCAAATACATTCTGCCAAGAGCACTTGCAAACAATTATATCACAAGATTACATTTTTGTTAACCTGTGAGCCAGCATAAATGCCTATATTCAAATCAATGTTGTCTTGAGAATACCAGCTTATTTGTCATACCTGCTCACAATTTGTTTACAATCCACTTACCTACTTTCAAGGATGTGACACCCTGACCAAGTTCACTGACTATTCCGCTAGCTTCATGACCCAAAACCATGGGTGCTTTTACAATGAAGTCTCCGATCCTTCCATGGGTCCAGTAGTGAACATCTGATCCACAAATTCCAACCTCCTGCATGGATAGCTGCACCTCTGAACAAAAAACACTTATGTGAACAATGGAATCAAACAGACATCGCTAAAGATTTGTCATATATATATATTAATAAGGTTAACAATGCATAACCATTTGCACTTTGTGCCAACTAAAAGAGACATATATACTTGGTATGAAATTCAAGTTTTCAGTAAATCCAGAGAGTTTAGAGCATCTAGAGATCACTTTTCATAATTTCACATTTAATCTCTTTCCCAACTAGGAATAACTTCCCCAACAAAGAGTCTGCGGTTTCATTCTTTTAAAGCATCAACATTACTACGACAAATATGACGCCGAATTAAAAGATGAAATATAGTGGCCATGGCCACATTGAACAGGTGACCGCTTTACACAGTAAAATTAAACAACAGAACATCAGAACATCATCATCGCCACCATAAATAATCATTATCATGATCACCATCACACTTACCATTACCGTCACCGTCACCATCATCACCATCATCATCATCATCACCGACTTAACAATTCCCCTTTTTCTTGTTTCGTTTTTCTAGAAAACATAACAATTTGCACCATGTCAATACCATAACCAACATATGAGCACCAAAATAAGGACACAGGACAAAAACCAAAAAAAAGATAAAATATAGTGGTTGTGACCGCATTGAACAGGTGACCGCTTTACACAGTAAAATTAAACAACAGAAAAAATTGCAAGGGAAATGGAAAGTGGCCATTTGTACAGGTATTATACAGATTGCTGTCATGGTTGGTTCGACTATATTTACAGTGTGAAAAGGAACACAAAAACTAAATATGTTGAAAAGATACTGATCCCAACGTAAAGAGATACAACAAATGTGGTTTATTACACAGGTACTTACGTCCAGGTCCAGGTTTAGGCACAGGGAGATCCTCCTGCAAAACACAGTTTTAACTGACATTATTCCACCTCATCCCTGAATAAGCTATCAAGACATTGCTGAAGGTAAAAACAGACGCTCAAGTTTTCCTCCCAAGTTTTCTTGTTCATAAAATCAAAATCCCTCACCAAAACCCATTGAACAGTCTACAACAGAGTTCAGAAACAGCTATTTTGACAGAAAACAAAACTGGAGGTTGCTGGATGCTGAAAAAGGATATTTTCAATCAGGAGCTCTCCTGTGCACTTCAAACATAGGTAAGCTGTATGCCTCATCTTTTCAACTTTCTGTATGCCTTTACACTTGGGAGGCCAGCTCTCACTACAAATTTGGTGGCCTTCTGTAGCATGTTCACTGGCCTGGAGAAACATGGAGGCTGGCCAAACCTCTTCTCATAGTTTATGTTAATGCAGCTCTGACATCGGATCAGCTTCTCTGTAAGGGTGTAATATATGACAAGATCAAAGTAGAGTATACATACAGTAGTTTCCGCCTAAGATCTCAGTGTTTAAGAGCAAGGAAAATGAGGGATCTTGAAGCGAACAGGATCTTGGCCGACGAACTGAGGGAAGTATCGACGGTGACCCATGTTATGGCTCATATAAACCGGTAAAATGGTCTCCCTCCACTCTAAAATGAACTGACGAGACCCTTGGGTGGGTTTATGACATATGGCAAACAAAGAGTGGTCAACCTTGATGACCAATCACAGAGGCATAAGGAAGCATACCATTTACACTTATTATCCTAGCGTGAGTCTCAAGATCTATGCTTATCCAGTTGCCCCTCCCATTTACCTGTCCAAAATTTATAGCTTTCTATCTCTGACCGAGTTCTCCCACCTTTGTCATAATGCACCATTACATTGTGACCACACCAATTACAATTCAGTCTGTCTCCTAAATTATGGAATGGAGAAAACTGCTCCAATTCCAATGGTCTGGGAAGAGTTCACAGTTCTCTTGAACTTGTAGGCACTACCTACCCAGCGATTGATGTAAATTTAGGTGGAGAGCTCAGATGCGAGTGCGATGTTTGGGGAAAACAAACGTGTCGGTCAGTTCACACCTCGGTGTGATCCCGTCTGGGTCAAACATTGTACTATTTCATCAAGTTTTACAACGCTTATATATATGTGATCACATTCACGAGAGTGGCTGATCTTTAACGTGACAGGCAGTTCATTTATCTCAACTTTTCACTCTTGGTCGATCCGGTTTAGACCTTCAACGTGAATCAGAGCTGGGGGTAACTTTCGTCTAGTAAAAATTGTATTTTCTTAAAACAACCGGATCTTTAGCGAACCAGGATCGTCAGTGGTGGGATCTTAGGCGGAGACTACTGTATGTGGAAATTCAACTGGTTGTGGCGCAATGCAAAATTATTTAACCCAGAAATGTAGGAGCTACAAGAACCCATAATTATCATTTACTTCCAGCAGCATATCAGGTACTAATTTATTTGGTAGGCCCTATTTAAATAATTACTTCTGTGAATAGGCTTGTAAAAGACACCCTCTTTAGGATCATGCAACAAAAAATAACACAACAAAACAAAGCATGATCATCTAAAATTATTGACAGTAATAAATCTGTAAACTTTTCTAAGTTTCCTATAAAAACAGCATGTAACATATATTAGATTTTTGAAAAGCTTGATTTCATAAAAGGTATCTCATATTTGCGTTAATTGTTCCCTCAGAGATGACAAAGATAATGGTCTTGCGTACACGCTCACATTTTGAAGCCGGTTTAATAGTTACAGTCAAACTTAATAATATATCATACACCTGTCCGCCTGAATCTGACTAATTTTGAAGCGTTATTTATTGAAATTCTATAATCATTTTTCGTCTTTCGCTTAAAAATTGGAACGAAATTTCAAAGTGACCTGAGAGAAACTTCTCGATGTACTGCATTGGCGAGAGTGCATGCATTCATTTATCTTTTATTAATTTAATGAAGTGACTATTTCTCTGAACGCTCTGGAGAATTAGCTAGACATCTATTTCTCTGAACGGTTTCCGTTCTCGAGATTTTTTGTTATTTTTTGCGAGAGTTCAGCATCATTTTTCATTCTGCCACTCTGTGAGGACTGTGGGAACAAGCAGTTTTCTTCATCGAATTCAATGTCTAGATCTAGAGATTTTTTAATGTCTGATTATTCAGATACTTCAATGGTGGTCGGGCCTACGTTACCGGACTTACTTCATTTGAAAATGCCATCAAAAGGTTCTGTCATAAAACAAGACTGCTCGACTTTGGCAGTAACCTATTTTGCATTTAGTCACCCCCTAAAGCAAAAACTTCAACAACAACAAAATCCCTCCACCTCATTAACACCTTAGGCACCTATATACACACACACAAACATACACACACACACACACACATGCACACTCACTCACACACGCACACTTACTCACACACACACACATACACACACACATACACACACACACACACGGGCCACTCCATTCGCAAATAACCAAAAAATCTCCAGAACGGAAACCGTTCTGAGAAATAGAGTTCAAGTTTATTTTCCCGAGCGTTCTGAGAAATAGAGCCGATCTTAATTTAATGCCACTGTTTTTTGGTAAGAGTTTTACGACGCTCGCAACTTCTTAAGGATAACCAGAGAGCGCTGGACAAACTAAATTTTTCAGTGGGTAGGAAATTTTGAAGTTTGACCGGGATCTTTAACGTGCGCAACTTGCACACGTGACCTCCGAGATTTTTCACCCTTGTCCGAGAAAGCTAGGTGTAGATCTTTCCTACCAGAAGATCAGGGGTGTGGCTGAAAGACAGCAATAAGAAGGAGCCAAGGAGAAGCAGTAGAAAAGGCAGTAGAAAGAGTCAGAGCCCAGAGGACGGAGCAAAGGAGATGATGGGGAGGTGGCAAAAACTGGAGACGAAAGAAGACGACAGAACATTACTAGATAGCGGAAAAGGAGGTGAGGTGAAAGGAGACAATTTCAGAGAAGAATATTTTTTCGGTCGCTACCCGAATTCGAACCCCAGACCTTTGAATGAGAGGCCAACGCCTTAATCTCTAGGCCATGAAAGCCCCCAATGCCACTGACTTTTTATATAGGGTGGGTTGGGGCAACTTCGACCTCGGGCCAAATTCGACAGATCACTCAACTCGCCTTCTTTGTTAACCGATTATTCGACTTCATTCGCCGTACACCGTGTAGTATGAAATGATTTGTCGAGTTGATTTCATTCAGAAGCTATTTTAACCGCATTCGTTATCTGAAGTGACTATTTTTGTCAAGAACCGCGATTCCTCAACTGGCTCCGTTCCCACCGCGAAAGTTTCTTGTTCGAAAGAACAGTTTGACGCCTTTTGCCTTCATCAATACTTTCAGTTTTTGTCTTTGCTGACAACACAAGAAGACCAAAACAGGAACTATTGAAGAGTTTATACATTACTTATTAATTTTTAAACACCATTTGGCTTATTTTATGCATTATTTATTGAGTGAAAGGGTTTTTTTCTTCGGCACCCTGGTTTTTTTATTTCGACCGGGGGTTGGAGCAACTTCGACCGGGGGTTGGCACAACTTTGACCGGGTTGGGGCAACTTCGACCGACGTTCTAGAGAGTGTAATGTTTATGTGTGTATATATGTGTGTCTCTCTGTCTCTCTCTCTCGCGCGCTCTCTCTCTGTCTCTCTCTCTCCCTCGCTCTCTCCCTTTCTGTCTCTCTGCGGGCGTGCGTGCGTGTGTATATATGAGTGTATGTGCTTATGTGTGTATATGTGTGTGTGCATGTGTGTGTTCGCGCGTGTGTGTGTGTGTTGTTAGAAACGAGGGTTGAATTAGACGGTAGGCCTACATAATATATTAACACCATAGAAAGTACCAGTGACTGGACAAAAAAACCTTGATCTTTTTTTGTCTTCTTTACTCGTAATAAATGGCAACGGTAATAAATCAAACTGAACAGGTCCTTGTCTGATTCTAGAACGGCATACAGGAAGTACACACAGGAACACCTGACGAAAGCTGTCAAAGCCATCAAATATGGAAAGCCTCCAAGGAGTTTTAAGTCCTGAAGGCTACATTGATCGACCACGTACCTGGTCAGTCAAAGACCACCTGGGCACGCCCTGAGTATCCCGAGGGAGATTGAGGAAAAGATGGTTAAGAAAATTTTATATGCAAGTTCGAAAATTTTTACGTTCACAAAGAGGATGTTCCTTGTGAAGGCATGAAGGCTGGTGGGGAAGTTGAAACTCAAGATGAGATCGTCAACGAGGATCAAGTCATGGAAGTCCCTTTTGTTCCAGACTCCGACTTTGAGCGGTTTGTGGATGCCACTGAAGGAGACGCTGATTTGGGCAGCAACAGTAATGACTCAACACCCAGATCATCACAGAGCCTCATCAACAATGTCTCGCGATGAGTGCGAGAGGGCCTTTGATGGAGCGATTCCCGTCGGTGAGGATGCCGTTACGATCGAGCTACCGCCAGGTTTTGGAGACACCACCTCTGACATATGTTGTTTCTCCAGAAGACTGTCATCCCCATGGGGCCGCATACATTTGACGACTCGCCCCCATGAGACATCATTTTTTAACTTCACACCTCATATTAAAGGCAATATCTTGATTAATACTTAATGAATCTGTCGGAACATTTCAGTAAGACAGTGCATTCATTTTACAGCTAGGGAAACACGTGGGATGCAAAGTTCAGAATGTTTTTAATGTTAAATTTTCAAGCAATGCTCGAGGTAGGCATTTCCGAGTCTGATGATGGGGTTGCTGTTGACCCGGGTTTGGGGAAGCTGTTTACTCCCCCCTCCCCTCCCTCCCAAGTGGCAACGCCGAAGAAACCTTCGAGCAGAGCTGTCACCAGCCACAAGTTCGAGGAAATGTACATGATAGTGTTTTGCAAAGTGTATGCTTTTGATATTAAGTGTAGCCTGTTAACCCTTCCAGCCCCTTGCGCGTATATTTTCAGCAGCGCTTGTACCTCCCACTGTCCCAAGAGCGTATATTCTCAGTTTCATTTGGTACCAAATTTTTTTCTATAAATAAGCGAACCTAATTAAACTTTAATAGTTTTCATTTTATATTTGTTCATTTACCTTTAAACACTGTTGCACGTTATTATCTAAACCTCATTACAAAAAGTTACTACATTACTTTTTAGAATGCATGCCTCTTTTTCTGAAATACTGCTCTGTATTGGCTGGGACTGGGGTTAGGGAGTGCACAAAAATGGCTCGGGCTGGAAGGGTTAATATATATTAAATATCTTCAGTGTGTTGAGCCTTTATAATATAAGCTGCTTCCCTGTAGGCTAGGCTAAGCATTTTCCTGTGCACGGTCAATGAGTGTGGCCTTTCTGGGAGATTATCTGTGCCAGCGTGTGTCACACATTAGGCTTGGCTTTGGGTTCATTTGCACGTCACGTTTAGTCTGGGTGATGTCCTTGCATGTGAGTGGCAAACTGCGACCAAAACACAAGGGTACCACCCATAGCCTAGGCTACAAAACAGTGTAGGCTGGCCTAGATGGACTCCAAGACTCTCGGTCGAAGTTGCACCAAGGTGGTCGAAGTTGGCCCAACTGCCAGTCGAATTTGAACCTACCCCGGTCGAAGTTGAAACAAGTGAGGTATAATCACAAAAAAAGGTCAAGTATCAAATATTAGGGACCCCTGTATTAAAACAGAACCTGACGAAGGATCGAGAAACACCATTTTTAATTATAATTTAATTCCCACTAGTGCATCTTGGGTATTCCTGAGCACCGAGAGGAGCCGAGTGAAGTCGACTACTTATAATTCGCCGATTGTAAAAATCGGTCGAAGTTACCCCAACCTACCCTAGAATCTACATTAATCTATTGTACATGTACTATCTGTGTTGGGCCTATAATAGTAGGGAATGGATTAACAATACACAAAAGGTTTTTTTTATATAGATCTAGAGATTGTTGTTTGTTTATTTTTTTTAATTTCGAGTTGAGAGAGTCTTGAAGAATAGCTAGAATCTAGGCCTGTACAGTGACAGACAAACCCAGGAACAGATCGAGATCAGCTTCTAGCCTAGGTCAAGATAAGAAAGCAAACACTTGAAACACCCACTACTGCGGGCCCTATGCCTTGAGTCTTGAGAAGGGGAGGACCATACCTAATCTGACGGAAAAGTGCAAAGATATTTTATAATAATTAGACATAGATCTAGTCTAGATCTAGATCTAGATCTAGATAATCTATATAGAATCTAGATCTAGATCTATCTATATATATAGAAAATAGATTCTAGTCTAGATCTAGATCTAGATCTAGGCCTATAACAGATCAGATCTAAATTAGATCTATATAGAATCTAGCTCTAGAATCTAGTCTTTTAGTTGTAAACAGGTAAATCTCACTCCATCATACCATGCGTAAGTCATCAGTCTTGTAGAGCATTGCAGTCAAATTGATGTCAGCCATTTTCGTTGCAGCTTCTTTGATGGTTTGTTCACCAGAAGATAATGAAAATTCAGCTTGCAAAAGGGTCCAGTTTCAGCAAAGTGAAATGTATAACCTACAACTACAGGCAGGGGCGGACCCTGGTTCGTAGTCGTAGCTGTAGCCTAGCACTGACCGACTTTCTTTCTATGCACATAAATCAGTCATATCTAACGGGTTAATAGAAACAACAAAATTGAAATCGCACCAGTATTAATCGGTGACACCGTCCCAAGCAAATCAAGTATTTAATTAATTGATAGAATCCGAAACAACAGGCCTTCAATGCACACGCGTCTTCAACGCACTTATCAGACCACCCTGTGTTCTCTAAATCTCGTAAACGGGGACTGTGTCAAAATGCAAGTCTATCTAGTTTCAGAACTGCAGGCAGGCTGCGGGCTGAACCTTAACCTTTGACTCAAAACAAGTTTGACCCCACAGAATTATACACTAAGTGTAGAATTCTGTGTTTGACCCACAACACGACCGCGGCCAACAGCCACAATGAGTCTGCCAGCTGGCTGGGGTGGGAACGGAAAAGGGAAAAAAGGCGGAGGTGGCTTGGGGAGGGTGGGGCCTAAACTGTGTCAGCTTGGCCTAGCCTTAGAAGTGTCGTTCGCTAGGCTAGGCCTAGGTCTCAGAGATAGAAAAAACAGGCCTAGGCCCAGCACTGTCGACTGTCGACCCTCACCTCTGTTAAATTCCTGTTATAATATAGGCCTCCTAGCCTATACTTATACACCGACTGGGCAAATCTAGCAATCGTCGGTCTGGGTTTTTGTATATATATATTCATGATGATAGCTGATAGTGAGTAGGTTCAATGATAAATATTATTGATGAAATTATAATTTAAGATGTATTGAGTCGTGCCCCTTATGTAAGCAACAGAAGAGCTTAAATTAGCACTCTCTCTTGGGCAATCAGTTCGCCGACCTGGGTGACGTCACCACTGAGCGCACAATACGAAGCCGCCACACTTTCTGTAGTGCGACAACACATTGTTGAACACTTATATTGTCTCTTTGAACGTATTTAAACAAAAAACAAAGTGCGTTTTTAATGTTGACTAATATTAATTTGAATTTACTTGAAACTGAATAAGAATCATCAGTCAGCAATCAATATAATAGCCCTCTATCCAGCCGAAAGTGATCCGACTGACTATAGATCCCGCTGGTCTTGACGAAGCGCCCCTGACATATCAGGCTCTGCTAAGAGTCAAGAACCCTTATCAAGATAAAAGCTCGCTCCGCTTGTGGGCCGTGGTCGTGTTGGCGTTGAGATTCAGGTTACAGTTGTACCTTATTAGTCCTTGAGGTCAAATCTTGTTTTGTGTCAAAGGTTAAGGTTATGTCTACAGTTTGCGGAGGAATGCGCCTTTCGCACAAGAGAACAAAACGTAGTGCATAATATATTCTATAGACTATAGATCTGTGTTCCTGAAATGGTTCATATCTGGTTAAGGAAACAATCGAGGGTTGTAGCCTATGAACGATTGGACGCTTGATCTAATCTACTTTTTTTTTTTTAGAAAACAGAATAATATATAAGCTATTCAAATGTAAGCGATCACTTAAACAGAATGGAATTACATAAAACTTCACAGCATTGATTAACGTTGACCAACAAATTTACCTACAATAATTTCAAACAATCTAAAGAACTCATAAGTGTATAATCATTCAGGTACCGTAGGGCCTGTTAACTCTCACACACAAGGAAAACCTCTTTGTGAGTCCCTTCTCCAAGTGTATGTTACAGCAGTCTCTAAGTTTCCTTTCTCCGTCGCTGGATCTTGAAAAAGACTTTAAGGCAATACGTCAAACCAGTTGTGTTTTGAATTTGTATTGAATATCATTATTATCTATAGCTCTCACTGGCAAAATTGAAAGCAAACGAGGCAGGGAGATGAGCAACTTACTCGGAGAGCCTAAACAGCGGGTAATGGTGAAAGATCAGGACAATATTGTAACTTTTTTTTAAAAAGCGTCCAAGCAAATGAGTGAATGAAAGGCCGTAACGTACATGTATAGTCGCTTAATTATGTCTACCCCAGAACTGGCGCTTTATGGCCGTGGTTCTTAATATATCTAAATAAGACTGACTGAAATTTTCCAATTAACTCTCCAATCCAACTCTACTTTTTCTACAATCAAGCAGTTTGACATAAACACAAACTTGATTTATCTGCTCCAAACAATAATATGCAAGTACATTAGTCGTCAAATTGGGCAGAGTTCAGAAGTGAGGCTCGAGAGGGTATACGTACAGGTCCGGACATTACCCCGGTCTCCTACACCGCCCCTCCTCCTTTGGCAGGGGCAAAACACGAGGATCACATAGAACAATGACCCTAGAGATTCAGATTGGCACCAGTCGCTGTGAAAATAATTCAGTAGGCAAAAGAGTTCTGAGAAAGTGAGGGGGGGGGGGGGAGACTCGATGAAGATGGAACGAAAGGAAAATTGAAAATTTAACATACTGACTTGCTTTCAATTGTTCAGCATTTTATTTTCCAACAATTTAAGAAAATAATCCTACTAATTACATACTTACCATCCTATTTTATGTATGTGTCTCTCAGTCTGTTAAGTTTCTTCATATCAAACCAGGAACTTAAATTCGTACCTGAAAAAATTGGTACTTTCGTCTGTCCGCATTACAAAGAAATTCTAGCTTATTTACAGTGAAACTAGAATTCAACGAACTCGGATTCAACGAAGGGAGACAGATTCCCTTTTTAAAAATTCAAATATAAATCATCCATATATATAACTCTGATTCAACGTACAAATAAAATTAAATGAGTGGACTCTGATTCAATGAAGTCATTCGTAGGACAAACAGTTCCCTATGTGGCTCACGCATTTTTCTCCCGAAACGAAGCTTGTCTCTATTCCAAGGGACTATGGCTCGTACCTGCACCGTGGATCATTAGCCAATAGGCCTACTTTACTTCTACTTTTTCCTTCCTCTGGTATCCTAAGGATGTCGAGGGAAGGTGCAAGTTTCGGTCCTGTGCTAGGTGTGTAGTGTCTGCAACAGATTATGTTCCAGGACCTTTTTAACCCCATCCAGCCAAGCCTTTCTTGGTTTTCCTCTTAATTTGAAGCCGGATTAAAATTCTCGGGTGTTGTAAGCTCTAGCCGATAGTTGTTTCTGGGATATTCTGGTTAAATGTCCTATAACCATTGTTGACTCTTTGACGGTATCATCATTATCCGGTGCCTTGCCGACTGGCGTGGGCGATTATGGACCTCCACTTCACTCAGTCCTGCATTGCAGCAATGGTGTCTGTTGTTCTTGTTGCTCCTGGCCATGTTGATGATGTTCTTGGGAAAGAATACAGCAGTGGTTTCCCCTTGCCTGCTGGATTTTTTTTGTACGGTTTACTTTGCTAGCCTTTGTCCAAAATGACTAACCCACAAGGGTATATGGATTTTATTACTGATGGTATTCCAATTTGTAGACGTATGGTTTCATTTCTTATGCGGTCTCTTCTGATGACGTTGATGGTTTCGCGGAGACACCTAATTTTACATGCATTAATTTTTCTTCCTTGTGCCTTGTTTAGAGACCATGTTTGGCACTGGTATGAATGTTGGTATGTTAAGATGCTGTTGATGAGCAGGGATTTCATTTCGGTTGTGATGTTCTTGTGGCTGCCTATACTTAGCCTTTATTATATCCTCTTGCGTACACCACTATTGTTTTTCACAGCAACATGTGCGTTTTGACACGGGCGTGTCCCAGAGTGCTGTGAGGTCGGGAAAGGTCGGACAGGCGGCAAGTACAATATAATATTAAATGTGGAAATGTGGAAAGTTAACTGTTTGCCTAGTATGTGTGTCGGGGGAAGAGGGGGGTGGGGTGGGGGTGGGGGGGGGGAGGGAGACGTAGACACAACAACATTTTGGGTGTGGAATATCAGCAGAGATCATACAGACGCCTCACTGTTATATTTTTTCGGAGGCCCGACCAAGACTTTGTTAAATCTTAATTTAATTACCAATATCCCCTTGAAACTTTACATGACACTTCTGCAGGCCAAGAAACATACAAGAGGTATAAAGAAATGTATCCAGTTTAATTTTTATTTAAAGTTTCTCTATTGGGCCCCATATGAAAAATCGCTCTTTAGGTGCACACACAGAATCACTAAAATAAACGACTCTCTTGTAACACCTTATTTAATCTTTGGCACTTTTTTTCCTTACCAAGGAATCCTATATAGGGCCTTTTGTATTGTGTTAGCAAGTCGCCGTTCAACTCGTACTAAAATTAAAAAAATAAGTGAACTGTCCTTCTTCATTTAGTTCAGTGTAATATCTCAGACCATTGGCAACAAAAATATCGAGTGTTGACATAATGGGCCTATACACAGATATATGTAGACTACATGTATACTGATATAACATGTACCGGTATGCCTATAAAGCATATAATAATATCGTCGTTTTTGTATCAAGAATAATGAGTAACCGTGATTGATCTTTTTTGACAGGGTGAGTTTGTTTTAGACAGACAATGTAGCTCAAACCACATTTATTATGATTTTTACAATTTTTACACCCCCCAAACCCCCCCCCTAAAAACAAACAAACAACAACAACAACAACAACCAAAAACAAAACAAAAATAAAAAACAACAAACAACAAAAACAACAGCAAACCAAAAAACCAAAACAACAAACAACAAAAAAGAAAAACTAAACAATTCAGCATCCTGTGCCAAACAACAATAACAGACGAACTGCGGTCATGAATCGGGAATGAGAGGTGAAACCAGAGACCTATACGGTCTTTGGTGAAACTTGAGGTTAGTGATTTTTATAATGAATTTTTAGTCCAATCCAGAATTTAGTTTGAAGTTTCCAATTTCCAATCCATCTAATGCGAGTCGTTTCAAGATGGCGGCCCCGGTAAGTGTTGTTGTGGTTCATGATGCTCTTACTTTGCCTTGAATTTTAGCTACTTTTCTTGGGCGCATTACATCTCACGTCAATTAAGTGACGAGGATTTTATGGCCCGTATTTATATTTGACAGATGTCTTGTTCCTCAGTATATGTTTTGTCTTTCTAGATCAGTAGATGTTGCTCAATGGCAAAAGAACCAGTCGCACATATCTCTCTTGTTTATAACTTGAAAATGTATACCAAATACCAATTATCGATACCAAGCACAAAAATGTCAATAACATGCCTAGAAAATAGAGATCTAATCTAGATCTAGATCTAGATCTAGAATCTAGATTATATCTGTAGAATGCATTTTATTTGATTTTCATTTCGAGGTTAACCTTTAGATTTAGATCTAGATCTTTCTAGATTCTAGGGCTTTAATGTGGACTTTAACGAACAGAGCACAAGATCACCCTCACCCCTGGCCCCTGGTGGGAATAACTCGCCCGTTATTCTCACCCTGACCCGGGTGTGGGCATCATATAGATCCAGATCAAGGCAACTACTGATTAGCGTTGCCGTAGATCATCATCAATGCCTTTCGCGGCTTTTCACTAGCAATGCCCACTGAGCGTGTTTTGTTCTGCCGATTTTTGGCCCCCGCCGCGGGGGTGTTTCGTGGGACGCACTAACGCAAAGGTTGTCTTCAACTCGCTCTCATGTCGCTTCTCGTGAATGGATATGAATGAAACTTGGCAGCCAATCAGAAAAGAGGTCAATATCGTAGTATGCAGTTTGACAACTTTGTACCCATCCAAGAAGCAGTTGAAAACGTTTGCGAAAGTGGTTGATGTGGTGCGATTTGAAGATTTTTCGGAGCTGTCATTTGTCAAACTGACTGATACATTGTACACCATTTTTCTTTATTCCCTTAAAATTTCATGCTTCTGTGTTTAGTGATTTTTGCGTAATCTTTAAAAATGTGGGAGTAACTAAGGGAAAAAGCGACATTGCCATTTTTGCTCGTGCTGGGTGAACGACCGGCGGCTGGGAAATTTCCACTGAGTGAGGTCATCAGCCATCGGTCGCCTGGGGCGCTACAAACGAGGTCCCGCTTTTATTAAATGTAAACCGGAAGGGGGAGAAGGATACTTGAAAACTAAACGGGGCCTTGATAACTTGCGTTTTTGTTGCATTTTAGTCAAATACAATAGATGTAGTCATTTTTAATTTTGCTTGATTGCATGACAGAAGAATAGAAACAGAAAAGCAAACATATTGAGAAGTGGTATGGCATTGTGTTAGCGTTATGAAAACCTCTTCCCCCCTCTGGGGAAAGCTCACACTTGGACTCGTCCTGTGTGCTCTGTTTGGAAAAGTCTGGGAAGTTAGTCCCGTTTATACATTGATATCGTTCACGCGTTGTGCGTGCGTGAGAGAGAGAGACAGAGAGAGAGGGGGGGGGGGGGTGTAAATATGTTACATTTATAGTATGAGTTGTAGCCTACACATGTGAAATATTCCCACGACATGTAAACTATATTATCTAAACGCATCTTAATGTACCACAAAATAGGACACTGTCCAACAAAGGATATATATACACAGAGACGATCTTATTTTCTATTACAAAGTATGCATGCTTTTACTAGTGGAGAACTGGATTTATTAGACTAATAAATCCAGTTCTCTACTTACATTTTTATGACAAATTGATCCAGAGCATTGCTTGGCAAGGAGGAACCTCTTATGTTGCCAAGTTCCATTCAAATATCATGACTTTGGGAGAAGATATGACTGATAATCTTTGTAAATCTGTAAAGAACGCCACTTTTTTACCTGTTAATGTCTTTACAACTCAAAAAGTAAGATAGATATTAAAAATCTGACAGCATGACTAGATTCTGCATTAAAAACTGTACTAGACTGCCAAGTTTCATTTACATACTCCAAAAAATAGGCGAGCTATGACAAATATTGTCTCAAAACGCACCGAAAACCACCACAATTTTACCTATAAACGTTTTCATAACTCAAACATTAGGATAGCTATGACAAATCTGAAAGCAGGACTAGATTCTTCTCTAGAAAATGTACTGGGTTGCCAAGTTTCATTTAAATACTCAGAGAAATGAGCGAGTTATATGACGAATATTGTCTCAAAACTCACCAAAGAACGTCCCATATTTTGGGTTTTTTTCATTATATAAAAGTGTACCAAAAATTAATTGATTAAAAAATTTGCAACTTTTTTGTTTATTGATGGATTTCAAAAATTCAAAAAGTTCCATGCTCTGTGAAGATACAGCTACAAAATGCACCTATTTGCAAACACTTTCTGACAAAAAAACGTTTTTCGCGGTCATTGCTACACTTTCACCCCTGGCAGGGTATAGTCCACATACAATCTCCTTCCATTTATCTCTGTCCTGAGCCATCCTTCCAAGCTCGTTCCAAGTGAGTTTCATCACTCTCATGTCCCTTTCCACGGTCTACGCATCTCCTCCATGTTTCCCATGGCCTACCCCTGCCTCGTGCTCCTTGTGGGTTCCACTGCAGTGACTGTCTTGTGATGTTACCGTAGATACCCTTAATTTATTATTTTAAAAAATCAAATAGCCTTAAAATTGGGCTATAATTGTGAGTATCGGTATTTCTATTAGGCTAGGTATCAGATGCGTTCTTCTGCTCTAGACATTTTGTTCTTGCCTAGATTCTAAATCTAGTGTAGCTTGTTATTTTTTTTCACTGTTGTTTGCTTTTCATGGTGTGAAATGGCCTTCACCCAGCCCTTCAAAATATTAAATGATATTTAAATAGCGCTCAACCCCGATTTAAGTACACAGGCTCTGAGCGCTTTACATGAGTACAATAATGTACAACAGTAACATAAAATTTTGTGTTCTGACTAAAAGAAAATCACTCCAAATATTCATCTTATTAATTTAAAAACAGAAACGACTTCAGCTGACATTTGAATGAATCAAAAGATTTGATCTCTCTTAAAGTACTTGGTAAAGCATTCTAGATCTTGGGGCCTTGGTATTCAAAAATGCCCTTTCACCCTTTGTTTAAGTTTCATAGATGGTAAAATAAATTTCTTTTTTGTCAGCCGATGACCTTAACTGTGAATTGGAATGTACAGTCTTAACAGATTTTATAAATAGAATGGTGCATTATCATTCTAACATTTGTGACATAGGGTGGCCAACTTGTACAAAGTGTAATTCTTTTCTCAACAGGAAGCCAATGCAATGTCCGTAAACTAAACCTGAAACTTATCTAGGTCTGTACAACTTATAATAAGTTATTCTCTGTGCTGTTCTGTGTGTGTCTGCTATAGCAAACCTGAGGGGGGTGAGAATAGCGAGACACAAGGTGACAGGCTATTCTCTCCCCTTGTGAGAATAGCCACTTCCAAAGAATATCTTTATTGTTGAAAACGTTTATGGTATTATTTTATTTTACTCGGGAATCCGTCATGCTCAATTCTAAAGTCTAAATTAAGTTTTTACTAGATCTAGTTCTAAATGAAAGTCTTCTTTTCTGCAACAATATTAATATATTAATAATGATGCGTAGATGTAGCACTGGTTCACCGGTGTGGGGAAAGAAAGCTGAATTATCGGGCAGAAGAAGACAACAATTTTAGATCAACCAAAATGCTGGTTTTCTGTCAACATGCTCCTAGGCTCCTTCTTAATGCTGTCTTTCAGCCACACCCTTGATCTTCTGGAAGGAAAGATCTACAGCTAGCCTTCTCGGACAAGGGCGAAAAATCTCGGAGCTCCCGTGTGCAAGTTGCGAACGTTTAAGTTCCCTTGGTGGTCCAAATTTGATAAGTGTAGGCTTCGGCCGCCATCCGGGCAAAATTCTAAATTTTCTACCAACTGAAAATGTGAGGCATCGTGGTGAAATCAGCCACTTGTCAAAATTATGAAAGGGAAGAGACTGGCATTTTTCCTTAGGTTTGGGAATTTTTATCGAATTTTTGTTTTTTGGCTTAACACCTTTCATGCCCATTCAAGAACACATTTTTGTGTGGATATTACAATTATTGAAAAACATTGCTTAGAGACAAAAAGATGTACATTTTCTGAAATTTTCAGGTACAGCGGACTCTCAAACTAAGGGAATAATGCAACTTTGGTGGCCATTTTCTCACCTATTTTACCTTTGAATCCATTTGACCCCCCACCTCTTTCAATCGCCAATAGGTTGACTTGTGTCCCAGATGAATAGTGATATTTTCCCCATCAACAGCAGGACAAATGGACAGGTTTTAAGATGATACTAATAACTCTATATATGCCCCAAAATTGATGAGCGCCTGATTCCACCACGCTGTGACGCAAATGTTTAATGCTAACCAAAAAACAAACCAACAAAACTACAACCCCCACATGACCCTTCCGCCCCAGTTTTTCACGAGAAAACAAAAACCCTTTTGAATTCGCTGCATGGCAGTTCAAAGCCTGAGATCAGCCCCAATTTGGACCTCAGAAGGGAACGGTTTGTTTTCTTCCTGCCTAAGATACTGTATGTTTTTTATGGTCAGATAGTGATGAATTTCTTTTTCAACAGCCTCCTAATGCAAATGGAATGCCAAAGGCAATGATGCCTGGATTCAGGATGCCTGTGAGTTTTTTAAAGTTCTCTTTAAAGTTTGCGTAGTGTAGTAGAGGCTTCAGACTTTATTAGACTGAACAAATGCTAACATATTTAAATTATTCCAACAGTACAGTTTATGTTGATAAAACATAATTTATGTCGTGGAATTTTGTAAATATTTGAGTTTGGGAAGTAATCAATATTTGTTATCAAAATTACCCATTGTCTTGTTTTTCCATTTCAATTGCAACAGTATTCTTATGTCAATCTTAAAGCTAGATAGATGTATTTAATTTTACTGACATTATTAATCAGTTGTGGATGTGTCAGTGTGTTTAATGTGGAGTGGAGCGGAGTTAGTTCAGGTACTTATTCAGAAAGAATTTCTGTTGGACTGACCGTAATTTCTGTTTGGTTCATAGTCATTGATTTTAATGTTTTTTAAATTCTTTTTCTCAGATGCCAGGAGGACCAATGCCTCCAATGGGTGGACCACCTCCTGGCTTCATGCCACCTGGAATGGATCCTGGTAAGAACAACTCATAATGTGCACACATAGACACGGGGTAGTGAGAAAATGCTTCAAAGGGTTGTGATCAGTTTCCAGTGTTTCCTTTCTTTCTTGTATTAAAGTACATACAAAGCACTATAAGAAATTCTTTTTTAAAAAGATTTATAGTTTTTGGGTGGGTTTTTTTTCTCGTAAATGTTTTTTTATGGCATTCACAACCGCCTTATGTCAGAGGAGAGTGTGGGACACATTAAGAGTTTTCAGTTTGGCAGGAATTAATTTTGAATTTTGCCCGGGTGGTGGCTGAAGCCTACTCATATAGGTTTTAGGAACACCAAGGGATCTTTCGCGTGCGCAACCAGCGCACGGAGTCTCCAAGATTTTGTTGCCCTTTTCCGAGAAGACTAGGTGTTCCCTAAGATCAGGGGTGTGACTGAAAGACAGTAGTAATTAGGAGCCAGGAATAATAGTTGAAAGAGTCAGGAGCCCAGAGGGGGAAGAGGAGGGCCAGTAAGTGAAGATGAAAGCAGATTACAGAACATGATTAGAAAGGAGGTGAAAGGAGATAGTTTTAAAGAAGAACATTTTTCATCGCTTTCAGGTTTTGAACCTGGGACCTATTGAATGAAAAGGCGAACACAGTATCTCTAGACCATGAGAGCCTGCCTTCTAGGTCTATTATTTTACAGCTTAGTAATTGCACGCTGATGTACGAATTAATGCAGAATACAGGAAATATAAGCAGATTAGAAGAGGAGCGAGGCAAGGATGTGCTATGTTACCAGACCTCTTTAACATATATACAGTGAATCAATGCTTAGAAACATAGTAGAATGTCCTGGTCTCAAAATAAATGGCGAAAATATTAATAGCATGAAATATGCCGATGACAGTTTTAATAGCAGACTCAGAAAAGAACTTTCAGTTGTTTTTTGATACTGCTGTAGGGGAAAGTAAATGTAAAGGGTTATTGTTGAATGTGAAGAAAACAGAATGCATGGTGATATCTAAAAAAAGCAGCAAATCCTATTTGTAATTTCATAAGCAAAAGTGAAAAGCTCAAACAAGTCAAACAGTTTGAATATCTAGGATATATAATATCTGATGCCAAATGTTTCACAGAAATAAAACAAAGAATTGCAATGGCTAAGGGGATAATTTCAATAAAATGAGCCCAATCCTAAAAAAATAGAAACATCTCATTGACTACCAAAATGAAAGTTCTGAAATGCTATGTTATTATAATTAATAATGTATGGTCAACCCATCTGTATGGCTGTGAATGCTGGTCGATCACTAAAGGCAATGAAAATAAAGTAGAAGTAACAGAAATGTGGTTTCTTAGGAGACTGCTATCTTGGAGTGAAAAGAAATCAAATGAGGTAATACTTGATGAAGACCATGTGGGATACTCACTGATAACAGGAAAAGGCGAATGCAGTTTTTTGGACTTCTGAATAGGCGTAAATGTCTAGGACATCTAGCTCTCATTGGCAAAATTGAAAGCAAAGGAGGCAGGGGTAGGCCCAGATCAACCTACCAAGAGAACCTAAACAGATGGGAAACTAGGAAAGATCAGAGTAACGTAGCTTTTTTAAGAATATCAGAGCAAAGGAATGGATGGAGAACCATGATCGCTGTTGTCTGCTGCAGATATGGCACTTGATGATGAGTTATTGTTCCTGATGACATCGCCTGAAGAGCTGCATTGAAAAAAGAGAATTTGAGAGTATTGGCTGTGTGGTAACGTTCTGTTTTCCTGGTTTCTTGTTTCCCACTTTAGCGATAGACTTTGGTTGGCGGGTGCTCTGGTGTGGTTTGCTTCTTCTTTCCTATCAAACATCTGTCGTCTTTATCTCCCCTTCTTCTTTTTTATGTTTGTTACTCTCTTGTAACACCTCTAATCTTCCGGCGCTCATATGACCTTTTGCAGTTGCAAGCGCCGTAAAACCTCTACTAAAAAGAACGGACTTATTTTTTGCATAGTGTTGACATTCTGGATAGTTAAGATATTTTAGCCAGTAATTTCTGTTTGTAAGCTTTAACTTTTGTGGATTATTCAATGGCCTATTTCTAATGTTTGGTGTGATTTGTAGTGCTCGTACCGACAGTCTTGTATAAACGAATAATGCGAACTACATCTTGACTATTTTCTACTTTATGATATTAGAAATCTTCAACTAAAAGAGTACCCTTTTATCATCTCCTCTTGTCTTGTTTCAGTTTTCCCCATGAACCCGGCAAACATTCCCACTCCATCTGCTATGCCACCCCAGGCATATCCTGGTAAGGCCCATGAGGGTTTCTGTGTGTTGGATGTAAATAATGTTTGTTATGGAAAAGGAAAATTGAAACCAGGTTCCTATTGTGTACAGTGCGATTTTTCAAAGTTCAAAATCAAAATCATTCTCTGCAGTGGTTTGATATTGAAATATGGGGGGAGGGAGGTGAATAGTTTTCAATCTACATTTTTCTGTTGAATATCAATTCTTCTCCTTACCTTTGTTAGCTGAGGCAAATAACTCAATTACACCTGGTTGATATAATGCCTCAATTTTGCTACATAATTGTATCTCTATGAAAGATACATTTGGTGCATTTTTGTTGTTGTACAATCAAAATTGTGACACCCATTGTAGAGGGAAAAGATAGTTTTGGACAGGTGATGGTCTTGCACTGTTTAATTATAAAGTAAAAAAAACAAAACATGGATGGGGGATGAGAAATTGCCATTTTTGAAGGTGATTGTGTTATACAGGAACGGGTTAGAGAAGGTTTGACTGTATTCCTGTATCTCTTTTCCTTTGGTGTCTGAATCAGATAACTTGAAAATAATAAATCATCAATAAATGTTGGAAAAATGTACCAGACACTTTGTGACATAAACATAACATGTGGCGTCGGTGGCCTAGTGGTTAGGCTCTCGGACTCGCAACCGTAAGGTCGTGGGTTCGAATCCCGTCAAGGGCCCGGCGTTGTGTCCTTGGGAAAGGCACTTTACACGAATTTTCCTCACTTCACCCAGGTGGGAATGGGTACCCGGCTATAGACAGCGAAAGATCTTGTCAGTTTGTTAGTGTTTGAGCGCTTAATCGGCAGCTTTGCACTGTATGCTTCCCGGGAAGCTGAGAATGTTTCGGAGTGTTCTATGGTCTGCTGGGGTAATAATATAGTGTAAAGCGCATAGAGCCTGCTGCTGAGCGGGAATATGCGCTATACAAATGCTATCTATTATTATTATTATTTATTATTAACACATGTCTTCAGATGAGAAAGCTGCTTAGAATAGCCATGATATTTATTAAGTATGCCCATCTTTGCTGGAAAAAAACTTACGCTTAGACTAGATAAATATGCTATGCATAATCGTTTCTGTTTGAGATTGACATTTGTCTTATATTCAAACCTTGAAAATGTTAATACTTTTTCAGGGCTCTTGTCTCTTGGGGATATTTAAATATGTCCGATTCAACATTATTATTATACTCTTTTTGTTTTGTTTTAGGTGGAGACAAAGCTGCTACGTCCACAACAGAAAAGGTACAAAAAGCATTTTTGTTTAATTTATTGTGCTTGTATTATGGGACAAAACACTAATTTTAAAAATAACATTTACGATTTATGTATTTATTTACTTTTGATATTTTGCCCCCACTGCCTGATGTCTGCTCTTTCTTGTATTGTAGTCTGAGAGGAGGGTGTTGAGCATCTGTTTACGTTTTTATATGCTGCCTGTTGGATTTTTTTCATAGCCAGTTGGCGCATCCGATATAAAACTTTGTAGGCTACGTTATGACTCCACTTGCACGAAGAAGGAATGCAGTAAGAAATAGATCAAGCTGATGGTAATCTCTCATATGGTAAGATATCAATTAAAATTATCTTGATTGCTCAAAAGTAAATATACAATATTTATTTCTGTGCATCCTCTTTCCATCCATTCATTCGGTCTGCCTTCATAACGACTAGTTTGTGTCTAGTAATGCCTTAAACATAAACTTACTTTTACTTTACTTTAGTCTTTACTTTTCCGACCCAGCGGCCATTTGGGTTCTAGCCCTTCGGTCTGAGTTAAACATTAAAAAAAATAAAATGTTTTGACTGTGAAGGTGGGTGGTTGGCGGGTGCTCTGGTGTGGTTTGCTTCTTCTTTCCTATCAAACACCCATCGTCCTTTTATCCCCCTTTCTTCTTTTTTATGTTTGTTACTCTCTTGTACTCTTGTAACACCTCTGATCTTCTGGCGTTCATATGGCCTTATGCTGTTGCGAGCGCTTAAATACCTCTACTAAAACTAAAAAACTGACTGTGAAGTGAATTCTGTTCTCAGAGAAGTGCATGGGGGGAACACAAGGCCCCTGATGGGAGGATCTATTATTACAACAGTCTCACCAAGGAGTCCAGCTGGGAAAAACCAGAAGATCTTAAATCTCCACAAGAGGTGCGTTTTCTTGGCCCCATTGAATCTCCTTTATTTGAGACACATTCAAATGGTTATTTAAGTGTTGTGAATAGTTAACTCTTTTACTTTATTTAGATTTGATAGAAATAACTTGTTCACGAACAGACGCTAATATAAGCTTTTTATTGCATTCTTTCAGATTAGGGAAGGAAGAGTATTAAGTTTGCTTTTGTTTTGTTCGGCTGGAACATGCGACCCAGTTCTTCATAGTTAGGAAAATTACTCATTTAGGATTTGGGTTGAAAGTTGTTTTCAGGTTTTCAGTGCGATATTTTCTTCCTTGTTCTTGAAAGGATTTGACAAAACAATTTTTTCCCCGTGCTTATATGAAAGCGAATAAAAAATTTAATGCCTTTTTAATTTTTTCTCACTATGTGCACAGTAGGTTTTGACTTCCATTTTGTTATTTTTCAAAACACATTTTCAGAAACTGCTGTCCCAGTGCCCGTGGAAAGAATATAAATCTGATGCTGGCAAAGTCTACTTCCACAATTCTGTCACCAAGGAGAGTAGATGGACAAAGCCAAAGGAGCTAGGGGAATTGGAAGGTACACACCAGGATTTAAGTATAGATTTCTTCCGTTGCAGAGGGTTCTCTCAACTATGTCAATGTATCTTGTCGGAAGTATTGTTTTTTTGTTGGTGTTTACGTTAACTTCTGCCAAGCACAGATGGATAGGCAGCCTGTTTTTTCCACCTCTTTCAGCAGCTATTGTGTCTTTTATGGACTAGTCAAGCACCCCAGAAAAATTAGATTTTTCTCTCTTAAATTTTCCCTTTTGAAAGACCCTATTCAGTTTTGATTGGCACTCTTTTTATTCTGATTATTGATAAACCAAATGCTATAAACTGCAAATGATGTGGAAATACATGTGGTCAAGACACTTGGCATGGGTATGCATTATTTTTTATATCTGAATCATTTCTAGTTCAGTTCTAGAGGGATGCAATAGTGCTTGTTGTTTTATTAGCAACAGTCATTTCATCTGTGATCTTTATCAACTTTGAGTTTAGTTTGAATTTTTTGTTTGTTTTCAATCCATCAAAGAGTTGATAGTAGATACTCGAAACAAGCTGTTGAGCCTCGTATAAGATGCTGTTTTTGACACAACTTTATCAATAAGTTACAAAGATTCTATTCACAGCATGGAAAAGCAAAACACCCCCCCGGAATGAGTGCCTTTTTGTCGTTTCTTTCATACTTGACAGTATTTCATCATTCAGCACAACTTGTCTAATCTCAGTATTGGTCTGCAAATAGTCTCATTCTCTTCAGCAGTGAATGAGCTTTCCAACAATATGACTTATAAATGAATTGAGTATAAATTTTGCATTGGTTGTCAAATTTTCACAGGAAACTGCTCTTTTTCAGTGAGTCCGCTTATCAAAATGAAGAGAAATGCCTATTTTCTACTGAAACTGGAAAATTTAGGTCAATTGAGCATATTGAATTAGCATATTGTGTACAAATGTACATCATATTTCATTGTTAGCTAGTACTACTATTCAGTAGACTCAGAGAGGGCTGGTGCACTCTGATGTGCAGCTTACACAGGCTGCTTGGGTTGTGCTGACCAGAGTCAAATTTGAAAAACTTGGACATATGCACCTGATCACACTTTATTTAGATGTGTAACTCAGAAGCTTGAATGGCTGCTATGGAGAAAAAATTGATGTGTTTTCTGCCTCTTTTCTCAAAATGTCAGAAATTTTCATGAGCATAGGTTTGTTACCTCGTTCACCGGGTTGCTACAAAATCGGCACATTTTATGTCTGTGACAATAATAATCAAATTTTTTCATTTTAATGACACAAAGTTTTTCATTTTAATGACACAAAGTTTTTCATTATTGTCCAATTTTTATGATTTTGGTAACAAAATGCTTGGAATTTTTTGAAAATAACAGATTGCAATAATTTATCTCAAGCTATATATACATTTTAAAAAAAAAGGTTTTGAGGATATATCTTATCACAGATTTGTTTCTTACCTTGGCAGAGGCCCTATGTTGTCACAGCAGTTTGTTGTGTATGAGAACTTTAGGTACTTTGTCTATACTAAAAAAAGATCCACTAGTTATTTTATTTTTCTCTTTGTTCACGGCTCTGAGAATTGACAATTGTGAACAAGCTGTTTATCTTGCCCCCCCCCCCCCCCCCATTCCCCATTGATTCCCTCAGCAATGATTGCAGCCTCCGCTCCAGCTTCCTCGTAAGTACAAGAGAAACTTGCTGCTAAGTGACCCTTCCTGTTTTTCTAAGCTTACACACAGTAACACAGTGCTGCAATTTTCATACGTTTTTTATGAGCTCACAGGGTCAGATAGAAGAGCCCACCAATATGAAACTTTGGTTCAATCTAACCCGCTGCAGGTGTTGGAATTCAGAGTTTAGAGATGGTTGTGTGGGTGGTTGGCGGGTGCTCTGGTGTGGTTTGCTCCTTCTTTCCTATCAAACATCTGTCGTCCTTATCTCCCCTCCTTCTTTTTTGTGTTTTTGTTACTCTCTTGTAACACCTCTAATCTTCTGGCGCTCATATGACCTTATGCAGTTGCGAGCACCGTAAAACCTCTACTAAAACTAAAAAAAGATAGTTGTGGGAAGAAGAATAAGATGGCCAAGGGTGTAGAGAGTGGGCCTGGTGTGCAACATGATGATTGTGGTTGGACATAAACTGAGAGCTTTGATTTGTCACTATTTTTAGTTTTAAAATTTTGCTGAAGATTAACTTCCATGTGCAGCTGTTGTAAGGCTTTAAGACTAGAGAGTAGAAATAAAAGCTTGGGAAACACATATATTAGACATATTGTATTGTATCTTTTCTAATATTCTGCTCAAGCTTAGTATATTTTAGTGAGAGAACACTCAAGGCTTGGATCATCTAGACCTGTGCTGATTGATGTTTTTCATTTTTCGTCCTCTCTGTAGTTCCATGCAATTTGCTCTTACTGTTTCCATGTGATTCATTGCCCAAGATGGACGAGAATTACTATATGTGTAAGGATGCGGTGGAATTAGGGGCTCGTCAATTTTTGGGCATGTGGAGTTATTGATATAGTCTTAAAGCTTGTTCATTATTCTTGCTTTCAATTAAAAATATACCCATCTATCTTGAATAGCAGTTGAAATATTCACAATTGATGGGGTTCGCCTCCACCCAGTTTCAGTGGTAAAAAAGAGAGAAAATGGCTGCCAAAGTTTGTTGTATTCCATAGCTTGAGAGTCCATGGAAACTGAAAATTGACATTTTTTGGTACCCTGAATCAACACTTTTCAGTAAAATCCCCACATAAATGTGTTTTTAAATGGACTTTAAAAGGGTATGAGCCCAAAAAACAAAAAGTTAATAAAAATTGCCGGACTGGTGGGAAAATGCCATTTTCTCCAGTTTCATTACAATTATTTTGACGAGCGCCTGATTTCACCATGCTGCCTCACATATTTTTATTCTTATACTCTTTTTTTCCCTTGCTGTCATATTTTCTATGGTGTTTCTTTTTCTAATTTAATTCTTTTTAAAAATATGTCCTCAGAGTTGATAGTCCGTCGAATAAAAGTGAACCTTCCTCTGCCATTGAGCAGGCCATGCAAGCCACTCTGGCATCCATAGAGTTGCCTCCCCCGCCCTCTGCTGCTGCGGCAGCCACGCTGCCTGTAGTTGAGGCTCCAGTTGAACCGAAAAAGGAGCCAATGTAAGTGATAGTAACAATGTTATCATCAGACTTGCCAACTGTCCTAAATTTCCTGAGACAGTCTTGGATTCAGCGGTCAGGAATTTGAGAGCCTTATCACTTACGCTATGCTAAAACCAGTCCCGCTTGATGTAATTTTGTTTGTAGCTGTATGTAATCCGATGGTATATTGTTGGGTGTCCCTGGTTAGGTTTTGAAATAGTAGGCAAGCCTGTGTCATATTCTGCCTTCTTGTCTAGGGTACTGTACAGTATTATCTTCGGTTCACATTTTTCACTTTGGTATTGCAACAGAAGTTAATTGTTATGTTTTTGTTTCTAAGACCTTTTGTTTTTTGCTCGTAGATTTGAACATTTTCAAAGGAGAAGATTTTTGTGTGTTTTAAATTTGTTTTCTTATCTAGAGAATGTATTTCTGTGTGGATGAACTGATTTAGAAACGATTTGTAAAACTTCTGAAAACTGCATGGCAGTCTTGAGGATCTAAAGCAAACAGCACAGTTTGTGCGCTTCACCTTATTGACTATCTAAAAGTCATAAAGAACAAAGGAGTTATACTATTGTTGGTGGAAGAAAGTTTTAGTAGCCGTTGAGACACACAAATACAAATTGCCTGTATTCTTGTTATTATGGGAACAATTTGTGTATGCAATGCCTTAATGAAAAGAAAAATGTAGGAAAAGTAAGAGCAGGTTTGTCAAAATGCTTTAGATAGGAAATTCCCTTCGTATATTGCTTGCTTCTTTAATGTTGTTTGAATCGTAATCTAAAAGACTTTGACTCTACAACCTATCAGTCAACTGGGATATGTTTCTCGCTTGTTTTGCGTCTTGAAAAAAAAAGTATTATTTTTAAAAAACTGACAAGATGTCACATTGTCTGCAAGACCTGTTGCAGCCGTAGGGTGGGACCTGTACTATGTAGCCCTTTCTTTAAAGGATGTGACATTTAATTCATTTATATTTTGTATCACTTCACAGGCCTGTTGCAGAGAAAGAGGAGCCACCCAAAAAGGAGCAATATATTTTTAGAAACAAGAAGGAAGCCATTGAAGCTTTCAAGTGCTTACTCAAGGAGAAGGTACGAACACTGTTTCTTGTTCACAGTTCAGTCATAACGGTTGTCACTTTGGATTTAGTTCAGACCTGAATAGTTTGAGGATTTTTGAGATCTTGATCTTGTCATATAGGAATATTGATGTAAGGGAGGGCTCTTTGAAATGCTTGCAGTTTTAAACCTATTTTTTTTTTTTCGTTCTTGTCTTTGGTGCCAGATTTGAATAACACTGTCATTTAAAAAATTAATGACATTGTGTTTCCTATTGTTCAAACTCAAGAACTCATCCATACTGAGATATTCATAAGTGGTTTGTAGATACTGCAGGGATTTAATGAAAGTTTTTAAATATTCAGCAAAAACATTGTTGTCATCATCACGCAATGCATTTCTCTGTTTGAATTTGTGTCCAGGAGGTTCCTTCCACGGCTAGCTGGGAGAGTGCCATGAAGCTCATCATCAACGACCCTCGCTACGGCGCTCTGAAGCACCTCAATGAGAAGAAACAAGCTTTTAATGAGTACAAGACGCAGCGGGCGAAAGAGGAAAAGGTGAGAAATAGATGGGGTTTGGTACTGGGAGCCGTGACCAGGGTGCTAGAACAAATCTTATTTAATTTTAATGTTACAGAATTGGCTAATACAATTGAATGTGGCGTCGATGGCCTAGTGGTTAGACTTCCAGACTCGTAATTGTGAGGTTGAGGGATCGGGGGTTCGAGACCCGGGCCCGATGTTGTGTCCTTGGGAAAGGCTCTTTACCCAAATTTCCCTGACTTCACCCAGGTGGGAATGGGTACCCGGCCATAAACAGCAAAAGATTTTGTCAGTATGTTATTGTTTTAGCGCCTATAAAGGGCTGCTTGCACTGTATGCTTCCCAGGAAGTTGAGATTGTTTCAGAATGCCCTCAGGTCTGCTGGGGTAATAGTATAGATTGTGAAGCGCATAGAGTTTGCTGTTGAGCGGGGGTTTGCGCTATACAAATGCTATCTATTATTATTAAATTGTTTTAAGTTGGCCTCCCATTGTTGAGGAGAAATGTTGCCATTTTACACAGGTGGACGTCTTATAAAGTGTCATTATAATGTAAAAAATACATGCGAAGGGGGAAATGGCAAGTGGCTGTTGTACAGGTGATTTGTCTTATACAAGTGACCGTCAGAGCAGGTTTGACTGTATTTGTTTTCCTAAAACTGCTCGAGATTTGTTTTGTTCATTTTCGTGTATTATTATTCCTTTGTGAGTAGTGTGACTTATGTATATAGATTAAGAAGAAAAAAAAGAAAATCATAACCCTCCGGGCGGTGCCACTGACTGAAGTGTCTTCAGGCCAATCCCAAAGGGGGGACATTTCTCGTTCTAATGCACAGAATTGTAAATGGGCTGATCCAACAATGTCATGCTCATAACTGTGCCTGAACTACAACAGGGAACTGCTGCTTTTTCTTTCCTAATCCTTACTATTGTCATTTTCCTCTTTGTGCTGTTGAAGCTAGAAAGGTGAGCAGAGTAAGTCTGATTCCCAGTAAAAGGACTTCTCTGTTGACATCCTCTCCTTGACGGTCATATGACCTTATGCAGTTGCGAGCACCGTAAAACCTCTACTAAAACTAAAAATAGAAAATCATGTTCTTTGTTCATCATCTGGCCTCTGAATTAGTGAACCAAGCTCTTCATCATACTAGTATTTTGTTCTTTGAAAAGTGAAAGAAGAATTTTTTAAAAACTATGTTAAAGCATTTTGGTAGTGTGCTCAACTACTGTGCTTTGCTCTGTTCTCTAAACCTTACTTAACTATACCTTTTATTTTTTCTTCTGTGGGAGCATGTTTATGTCCTATGAATATAACTGTTATATTGCATAATATGTTATTGTAATTTCCAGGAAGAGCAGCGTCTGAGGGCTAAACAGGCAAAGGAAGATTTGGAGCAGTTTTTACTACACAATGACAGAATGAACTCCTCCATCAAATACTGGTGAGAAATGATCCCTTTACGTGTGTTTTCTGGTTACTGTATCTTATTAGAGAAAATTTTGCATTATTAAGGGAACTGTGGTGAAAATACAAGGGAGTAATTGGGGATGTCTCTCTCCTACACTTCACCTTTTTGTCAATCTGTCCTTATTCTGACGTGGCTAAGGCTGCACTAAAGCTGATAGTTTTAGACTAAAGTGTCATTGTTTCACAAATTTATGAATTTAAATGATTTTATATGTGAGCAAATGGTGTCAAAGTTGTCGATTGGAAGGGAAGTTCAGAGGCAGAATTATTTTATTGTTATCCTGTTATTTTTCAACATGCAGTTTTAAAACGGCGAGAAGTCAGTTACTTAACACGATTCCATGAAGTTTGGGTTTCTTTTTTCCTTTCAGTTTGTGGGCTTTTGCATTACTACTTCTGCAGTGCAGTGATTTGCTTAAGCACATTGTATTTGTTTTGTACTTGTAGTTCCACATAAGGCAAAGAAAACAAAAGTAAAACTGGAGACTGCTTTGACTAACAAGGGTGTTTATAATCCTGATGGTTTTGGAGAATAGGCAGGTGTTCAAAGAAATATGATGTAGGAAAATTCATCTTCCATGATATGTTGAATTACAGTTATTTAACTTTTTCGTGTGCAATGTAAAATTTTGTATCTCGTAGTACTTTGTTTGTGTAAGGCATTGAATGGATTATTCAGGTTCATTATGTTTTTTTCAGGAAAGCAGATACTATGTTTGGAGAAGATGAAGCCTGGAAGAGTGTCAGTGAGAGGGAGAGGAGAGATCTCTTTGACGATGTGGTGCATCTCATTGCAAAGAAAGAGAAGGTAATTCGATCGTCTTTTACATCGTCTACTGCATGCGAGTGTCTGCACTGTCTTATTTGCTATTGAGTGGATGATTGGTGGATGTTCTGGTTTGGTCTAGTCTTTCTCCTTTCTTTTTGAGTATCAATTTTCAAATTTCTATTTCTTGGCACACAGTTGCTTCTATTGTGCTCTAAAGAACAGGTCAGTGGTAACATTCTGGAATCATTAATATCAGTTTTTTTTAATGAATTGTACTGTGGTCTGAAGATTTTTTTAAACAACAATTTTGCTTTATCTCTATTTCTAATGGTAGTTTTATTATGCTCATAGAGGCTGAAGTGCATGCACTGGTTTTGGGAAAGATTTAAAAAACTGTTGAATTTTTTGTGTTTCTTTTTGTTTTTTGGTTTGTAGCTTTGACATGGATCAGCTTTCAGCTTTGTGTATACTCTGAGTAACCAAAGACATATATTTCATTCATATATGAATTTTTGTATTACATTTCTTTTGTGTGTGTCGTACGGAAATCATTGAGATAAATGCATTTTCTCCACACTGCCCCCTCTCCACCTTCCCCTTACTCTATCCTTTTTTTTCTTCTTTCTCTTGATGACAGGAAGAAGCAAAAGTCCTGCGCAAACGTAACATCAAAGTGTTCACAGAGATCCTCGACAACATGCCCAACCTGACGTTCACGACCACCTGGTCGGAGGCACAGCAAATGTTGCTGGACAACCCTCGCTTCACAGAGGACCCAGACTTGGAGAGTAAGTGAAGGCAAGGGGGCGGGTCCAGGTGGCTGATGGATGGTCTAGTGTGCTGGTGCTCATCTCTAGTTTAGTTTTAGTAGAGGTTTTACTGTGCTTGCATCTGCATAAGGTCATATGAGCGCAAGAAGATTAGAGGTGTTACAAGAGAGTAACAAACATAAAAAGAAGGGGAGATAAGTACGATAGGAAAGAAAAAGCAAACCACACCAGAGCACCCGCCAATCACCCTTATGCTAATTTCTTCCTGAGGAACAGTGGGCAGTATATTTCCATGAAAAAACCCAACAAAACAACTATTTGGCGACTATTAATATTGGCAAAACTGGCTAGGCATTTTTTGCTTGTTTTGGGTGACAATCTTTAGAATTGAACTTACAAATTAAAACTTATATTTGTTCAAATTAGTTATCTTTTATCTATATGTAGCAGTACATGTTAGCTGTCACTGTATGCTGTCCTTTCTAAATTTATTGTCTAAAATTTAATGCTTTCTAGAAAAAGAAAGAAAAGTGACATAAAACTAAATTGTGAGGATGATATGATTATGTCTTAATATCCTGATGTTGTTTTATATATGTTTAAAATAATTATTTACCCATATCATGTGTTTTTTTGTTTTGTTTGGGGGTTCATGTGTTCCTGGAGGAATTAAGTTTGTAGATGCATATAGTTTTTCCTGCCTTTTGCTGTTTCCAGATATGGACAAAGAAGATGCCCTTGTGTGTTTTGAGGACCATATCCGTTTGTTGGAGCAAGAAAATGATGATGAGAAGGAAAGGGAACGGCGTAGGCTGAAAAGAAACCAGAGGAAGAACAGAGAAAGTTTCATTGTGAGTATCGTGTGTCACTGTCTTTTATCAGTGCTGTTTGTGACTAAGGCTGTTTAGTGGAAGCTTTTGTTTTGAAAGCCTTCTTTCTTTCCTTTCTTCTTGATACTTTACATCTTAACATTATATGTGTGTATAAAATATATATTTATTGCATATGAAAGATGAGGTCTTTCGCCCAAAGGAAATGTATTTCCCTCTAATGCTAGAGTGCATAATTTGATTCTTGGGTCACTCTGACCTGGTAACTCTGGTTTTTCTCTTGCTTTTCAGTCTTGGTATGTGGGTTGATAGGCATGAGCTCTGTGTCTTTTTAGATTAAGATGGAAACGTGAGAGGTTTTGTATTATTGACACTTTGACAGTGAAAAATGGAAGAATAACAGACTTGGCTGGGCAACAGTGTGTGTGTTGATATTGATCCACCAGCATATGTTTTTGATTTTTGATGGATGAATGGTTTATTGTGGCTTTATGTTAGCTGAGAAGGCCAACCCGTATCAACCCCGAAACTTTCTGGCAAAGGGGGCTCTGGTGAAGGTTTGGTACCAAGGGGCCTAGCAAACTGGTAATCAATTATAATTTCTGCTAAAAGTAATGAAAGGATTGGTTTATTCGTTGGTCTGATTTTTTTTTCCAGTGTCACTTTTCTTTTAGTTCGTTTCCTAACAAACTTGTTATTACCATGTGAAATTGTTGCTCATTGTTTTTCCAAACAACATCTTTTTCTTCATGCACCCCGGGGCGGTGCTACTGACTGATGTGTCTTTAGGCCATTCCCAAAGGGGGGACATTAACATGTTCTTATGCTCAGTAGAATTGTAAATGGGCTGATTCATCAATGTCATGCTCATAACTGTGCCTGAACTGCATACAGGGAACTGCTACTTTTTCTGTCCTAATTCTTACTATCCTCATTTGTCCTCTACTTCTTTGGTATGTTTGTCTCTCTCTTGTGACCAACTATTTCCAGGGTGCCTTGATTGTCGAAGCAGACTTTGTACTGTTGAAGCTAGAGAGGTGAGCAGAGTAAGCCCTATTCCCTGTATGGACTTTTCTGTTGACATCCACCCCTTGGTGCTCATATGACCTTAGTTGCAAGCACAGTAAAAACTCTACTGAAAGCAAACTAACTTTCTTCATGAAGGTATTGCTGGATGAACTCCACCACCAAGGCAAGCTCAACTCCATGTCCCTGTGGATGGATTTGTTCCCGGTGATCAGCCAGGACATGCGGTTTGGCAGCATGCTCGGGCAGCCCGGCTCTACCCCTCTTGACCTTTTCAAGTTCTACGTCGAAGATCTCAAGTCACGGTTTCACGATGAGAAGAAAGTGGTTAAAGAGATTCTCAAGGTATCGTAATCAACATGATGGATATAGTTTAGTAGAGAAGACAAGTTTATAGGGTCTGCAGATCTTGTCATTTTAATGATCACGTCATGGATCGTCATATTTTCACAATAGCAATAAGTGTGCTGCTTTTTGTATTAATTCTATTCATTTTTATAATCTTATTAATTCCCAAGGCTGCAGTGAAGAAAAATAGTCCAATAGTGCTTAGTGTGGGTGGTGGGAGGAGTCTTGCTGGTAGTTAAATGAGTAATGTTGAATTTAGCAGCCCTGAATGATGAACTTTGTAGTATGGACGTGCTTGTTTTCTCACAAATACTGTCTTTTGTTTATTGCAGGAAAAAGGTTTCTTCATTGAGATTTCTACGACGTATGAGAGTTTCAGCAATGCTATCCTCAGTGACAAACGTTCAAGTAACCTGGACAGTGGAAACATCAAACTCACATACAACAGTGTATGTATCTATGCCTTGCTCATATTTGTTTTGTTGTTTCATGGGAATTAAATTGTCCTTGTATATGATATTGGGGTCATTGTTGTGCATATTTCTGTGGGCAGTGTTAAACGTTGAAAGAAATTTGCTCTGATTAAATATATTCCTCTAAGAAGTTAAGCAAATAACATTCAATTAAAGACTATTTTAATCCCATTGGTCTCGAAATTGATAAATGACTCTTTGTCATTCCTTCATTGTTAAGAGCTGAAGAGATAAGTCGTTTGTAAGCAAACTGCATTGCGTATACTGGTAATGGGTCTTGTCACTCAAGAATTAAAGATAGATAGATTGTGGCAGGCAATTGTTTTGAGACTCCCGACTTATTTGAAAATGCAAGATGTTTATTGGAAAATCATCAGGAAATCTCAAAATGTTAAGTGTAATAGGTCCTTAGATGTCTGATATAAAGATTGCTGCTCATTCCTGCTTCAATTTATGTGTTTCCTTTTCAGCTCTTGGAAAAAGCAGAGGCACGAGAAAAGGAAAGATTGAAGGATGAGGCGAGACGGGTAAGAATAATTTTTTGTTTGCTTTACAATTTAGAGGTGGTATGTGTGATAAATGAGAGGCAAAATTAATTACTTCTCGCAATCCAAAAATGGAGATTTCGTCCGAAAATCGACGACGCTGGGGTCAGATTTATAGATTTTCGATTGATGCCATTTTCTTCAAGTCTACCGTACCAGAGCATGTACTTCAATTTTCATATGTGAATATCTTTCACATATTAGCCTTTAAACTGACCTTTCATTGGTCAAATTGGTAAGAGTTCCACTAATGCCTGTAAAGTTCTTACTGACTGAGAAGAATCTTTCATTCCAGCCTTGACTTGAAATCTTTGCTGATTTTCTGCCAATGTGAGTCATTGGCTAAATGCTGCTATATAAATTGGTAAATTAAAAAAAAGTAAAGTTGTTCCCTCATCCGGTCCGGTCATTGGAGATTGCCTTTTTAGTGAGACAATTCCCTGGACCTTCGGCATATTGTAGTAAGGTGGCCAGTTTCTTTCCACACCGCCTTTACTTCCCCAACTTGAAGTCAGGTATTCATTACTGTTGGGTGGGCAGGAAGAGGCGAAAAAAATCTGTGTCCAAACTGAGGCTCAAATCCAGACTTTCCGCTTCGGAGACGAGTGCAAATTGGTAAATGGTAATGAAAAGTTGTAGGGTGCCATCCTTTTGACTACGCCCTTTGATAGCAGAGACAGGTTGAAACATTGAGTGAACAAGCTAAGTTGTGTGCTCCCCAGAGAGGAGTCATGGCTCTAATAGTATTTGATCCATAGTGGTTGATTGAAAAACAATTTTCAGGGACAAATTTAAGCAATTTTTCAAAGGAAAATCATAATAATCCTCATTTTCTGGTCAGATTGGCTTTCCTCTTATTGTCTTGACCCTACATCAGTTGGCTCAATTTGTCTGCATCAACTTTGTGTGTTTTAAAAAAAAGTAAATCTTGACGTGGTTATCTTTGTTTTGACAAGTTTAGTGGTTGGGTTTTTTTAAAGCTTGCATTAATAGTATAGTGTTTTGATCAGTTTATGTTCTACAGTATATTTATTTGAAGGTTAATTTTCCTACTAGATTGAATGAATGTGTTCCTTGCAGGTCTGTGCTTTCTATTTCAGGCTAACTGTTTTTCTGAATCCCTTTGTATGACTTTCATTTTTTTTTTTTGTGTAGGCTACACTTTTCACCTAAGATTCGCTTGTTGCTTGTGGTTTCCATTTTGACCTGGACAAGGTTGATAGGCACCATTGCAACTTTCAGTAGCACTAATTTTCGTTATCTTTTTTTATATTATTAGGGTTTTATCAGTAGCAGGAAGGTAAATTAATTCCCACTTTTTCTTGTGTTTGTTTAAGGTGGGAAAATTTCAAGCATTTGACTCTTATGCAGTTGCGAGCGCCATAAAACCTACTAAAACTAAAAAAGCATTTGACTGACATCTGTGATCTAGCGGTTAGGTGCTTACCCGTTACATTCAGAAGACAAGTTCAGTTTCAGAGTAGGGAACAATTTTAACTCTTTCCGGATATCGACGCGAGTTCACACCCCATGCGATCGTATCGCTGATATATCAGCAATAATAGGGTGCCTCAGTTTTGTATTGTTTTAACATGATTGGTCATTTATAAGTACTTATTATTGTTATGGAAAACTTGGAATGTGTTTAAGAAACGAAAACATCTAGTTTCACTTTGTCAAAGTGTCATTTTGCCAAAATGAGTGAATTAGTTCTAGCAGTCTTGCTTCAACAAAACGTAATTAGAGTAGAAATATCATAACTCAAACAAAAATTGGAATATTGCTTTCAAATAAAAAGCTGACCTTTCAGAAATTTATGGATTATGCTCTTGGCCTGTATATGATAAGATATCTATGCTGATTTGCTTTCACATGTTTTTTGAGTGTAGTGTAATTTTTTTCCGTCAAAATTTATTTTTCTCATCACCATCACTCATTCTAACCCTTGTAATGCATGCTTATATTCAAAATTAATCCTTTTTTCATGTTGGAATGTATTACTCATTCAATTTCCTTCAATTTGATATATCATATGTTATGTTTTGAGTGATGGTTTGCTTATATGAAGATATTTTGTACATCAACTGTAGCCAAATAGCGCCACAAGTTAATTACGTCTAGATCCCCAAAAAACTAAGTCCGGAAAGAGTTAGTATAAATAATATTGATATTAATATATGGCATTAATTATATAGCGCTCAACCCCGATTAAAGTACACAGGCCCTGAGCACTTTATAATACCATGATAACATAATAATATCAGTACTGGTACATTGTGTTCTGACCAAAAGAAATCTCTCTAAATATTTATCTCGTTAATCTAAAAACAGAAATGATTTTAACGGAATACATCTTTATGATGGGACATTGTTGTATTCCTCTCAGCTGAGGGTGGCCCTGACAGGCAGGCCACCTCATAGATGATCTAAATTGTGTTGATAGAGGCGTAAAACATCTACCAGTGCTGACAATTTTCCCGCGGATCCACGGATTTCCCCTTTTTTTGTTGGTTCCAAAATATTACTACAAAAGTAAGATATGTGTTATATTATTGTAGTTAGTATTAGAGTTCTATGTTGAAATTTCAGGATTGCAACGGGGTTGCTATATTTTCCTCTTTTTTGACTTTTTCTCATTATCAGCACTGATCTACAATTTTACTTTAGGCGTCTTGTTGAATATTGTGTACAGATCTAAGGTAAAGCTACTTTTAGATGTTACCATAGCCTAATGACTGTTATATGTTTCTCTCTTTTCAGCTGAAAAAGTTGGAGTCTGCTTTCAAGAACTTGCTATCAAAACACAATATTGATCTCGACACCAAGTGGGACCATGTATGTACATTTCCTTTGTTGACTTTACTCTTCCTTTGTTTTATCAGCATTTTGGTGGATTTTCACACTACTGATTATTTGTTCAGTCGTGTTGGTTAATTTTAGTGTTGATTTAAATGAAGTGTAGACATTTTTAAAGAATTTAGATGGCCATTGTTTCCATGCCTACTTACTGTTTTAATGCTAAATGTTTACTCTAGATTGAGCTCACAAAGTTTTGTTTTGATGGTTTCAATAAAATCTTTATAGAATCAGCTGTGGTAAACAAAGAAAGCAGACAAATTTTGGTTCAGGATGAGGGCTAGGGGGAAAAAAGGGGGGGGGGGGGGGGGGGGGACTGCAGTTTCCAGTTGGTGAATTGTGAGAAAATTTCTTTTTTAGGGCACAGAATTTGTTGATAGTGTATATTTGGAGGTTTGGCTCTGTTCCATGATTTGTGTACACATTGTTTGGTAACACCTTGTTTTGTATTTACAGATAAGACCAAAACTTGAAGGAGAACAAGCGTTTGAAAGCATCACATTAGAGGCTGAAAGAATCCGCTTGTTCAAAGAACACTTGATAGCCATTGAAGAAAGTTGCTCACATTATCATCCCAAGAAAAAGAAGTCTAAGAAACACAGGTCTCGTCGCTCTAGGTCTAGATCTGAAGTAAGTGTTTCTTTTTCAGATGTTGAGAATTTCAGTCTTGCTTATTGCTCTAGTTTTTCAAGACTTGTGCTTTCCTCAAGTGTTTGGTTGAGTACTCCAAATCAATTGTAATCAATGATTGTTGTTTCTGCCCATGCCAGACAATAAAACATTTATGGTGTACCCTATTATTAAATTTGTAAAGTCTAAACATGAATAGACTCTTTCTTCTCTGCTTAAAGTAGACAGGGAAGTTAAGCAATTGCAAGTTGATATTCCACTCACAGCACTGTTGTTGTTATATTTGCAAACCAATTAGTGCATATGGTAGAGCACATGGGATTCAGGTCATCTGAGCTTATTTATTCTTATACCGTAATTGTATGATCCCCAGAGTGACTCGGAAGACGACAGCCGGCATCGGTCGTCAAAGAAGAAGCGCAGAAAGTCAGAGTCTCGCTCTCCCAGTAGAGGGTCAGACTCTGACAGATCTCGAGGTAGTGCTGTGAACTCTCGTTTGTCCTTTTTTATTGGGTGTTTGTGTAACTGATGGGTAGAGGATGTTACTTGTAGGTCTTTCTTTTTTTTCCTTGTTCCTCGGTAAATTCTGTCACTTTTCTTTCTTTTTTGTTCTCACACTTGTCTGGTCATTACTGGTCAGATTCAGTCTTAGGTATCTGCAAATTTTATCATGTTAATGTGTATTTGTGTGCACTTATTAACGATAAATCATGGTTACGAAATTGGGTATTTAATGTGAAATCATTGCTAGATGACTGTATGTGATGAGCTCCTTCTCTTTTCAGTATAAATTGTTTTCCAGCTGCAGTATTCTGGTAATGCGTGGGTGAAAGTATCTCTGGTAACTCCATTTCTTTCTTATTCTCGGCTGCATAATCCTTTTACATACAGGACCACCATATGATACTGGCAGTGTGTTATTAAGCAGACCAAAGTTCATGCAGAGTATCATAGGATTCTTATGTTCTTACGATATAAGTGGCCATTAAAAAGTTTCTCGTTGGGTGGGTGGATAGTACATGGGCATTCTGGCTTAGTATGCTTTTTTCCTGCTTTTCAATATTGCTGTTGTCCAAATTTTTTTTTGCTTAAAGTTTCCATTGTTGTTCAAACTTGCTGCCAACTTTTTTCTCCACCAGAATATCTGGAAAGTTCTGCTTCTTAAAGTTTCTCTTTCTGTGAAACTCTGTGACTATTACTGTTTAGTTCCCTTCCTTATTGATGGGATGCTATCAGGGTAAAATAGTTTAAAATGTCAATTAGCTCAATTAGAATTTCCTTGAAACTCTGCATGCTCTTGGTCTGCTGGTGTTCTGTGTCTAGACAATGGATTTACACCTGTGTGTTGTAGTCATAGATTTCCTTTTTACCATCCCCACAGGAGATGATGACGACAGGGGAGCCAAGAAACACAAGAAGAAGTCTAAGAAAAAGAAGCACAACTCCCGATCAGTAAGTGCCGTTTGTTTTTCTCAACAGGATCACATTTTTTTTTTCTTTTAAAAGAACTACTGCGATGCTGTACTGTCAGTATAATATGTTGATGACCTCATAACTGTGTATGAACATTTTAAAAAATGACAGTTTGGAAGTGTTTCCTGCATCAGCTAATTCAATATGCTGCGTTTTGGAACCATTTAATAGTGAACTGTGAGGTCTTTTGTATTATATATATTATACGTGTAATTTTTTGCATGCCCTCTGTGCATCTACTTCTATGGTTCTGCTTTTCTCATGGCGGATGCTGAGGTTAAGATACTTTATGTTCTTTGCCTTGGGCTATATGCAAACAAACCACTTACAGCACTGTGGAAGTACGGAAAATTAACGGAGTGCCGTCGAGTCAAATTTATGAATACGACAAGTGACGAATGGCAAATCTTGCACTTTTGAGCATGCGCTCTAAGGTCTGTCTTTGCTTACTAGAGGCCTACTTCCGCCCGCTTTCAGTTTCAGTTCGAGAGTGGCACGAGTTCGTTGGCTTTTACTGCTTTAATATTTAGATCTCGTATCTTTTCTAGATTAAGTCTATGATGTCGTGTGATATTTCTTGGATATATGTGTGCTCTTTGTGAAATTTTGGCGGACTTAGATCTGTGCGTGTCTTGTGTGATGGCAGTTGCGTAACCATTTTCTCTCAAAGATGGCCGTCTGAAAAAGTTCAGTTAAAAAAATTCCTGTGGAGTTAACATCTCTGGCAGCATTGCGCTTTGCTTTGCGTTTACCTTCTTTTAGCATCTCAGCTCTGTTTTTCTTGTCTGTTTTTGGCAAATTATGGGCATTTTTGTGTAAGCTGCAATTCAACATTTTTACTCAGGCATCCCGGTCAGATGGCTCGGACCATGAGAGGGATCGGCGCAGCTCCTCCAAAATCACGAGGAAAAGAAAAGAGTCCCCAGAGCCTCCCCCAGCACCGCCGTCCAAGAGAGACAGGTCCAGCAAGGTAGGTGACGAAGCAGCACATCGTTTGAGTTTGAAAGATCTAAGAATTTACTAGTCTTTTTCTCTTACACCAAACTATCTATGGCGTTACATTCCAGGTACAAACTAACCAAATTGTTGGAAAATCTTTCTTGCAAGTGGCATTTTGTCTCAGGTGGCAAGTGGTGGGACTGGGTATGAGGATTTGTGTCTCAGTGGTCTACAGTAAATAAAAGCTGCTTTACTTTTACTATTTCTCTTTTAGTGCAATATACAGGTACAGAAAATAGAGGGCCATGAGTCTGCTGATAGTAGTCTTACAGAGACATGCAGACTTTTATTTGACTCGTAAAGCCACAACTGTGTGGCATCATTATAGATGTGAGCTGGGTGAAAAGTGTTTTAATGTAAATCAAAGTCGTTTATAAAAACCTATGTCCTTCCTGTGTTCTCTTTGGCAGCCTTTTGAGAAATTAGAGATGTTCTGATTTATTTAGGTTTTATTCCTAGTTCTGTGAAACTTGATTTATAGCAATCTGAATAGTTGAATGTACCAAATTTAGCCGGTCATCATTGCTTTTCCTGTTGTCCAAGGAACTAAAATGTTTACCAGTTTCCAGTTCATGGTTTTTTGTTAACTTCACGATTGCCGGTAGTTCTTAAATGCACTGTAGTAAATTGTACTCAGTGAAGTTGTTTGTTAGTTATTTTATTGATTATTTTCCTTTGCATAGTAATATAAACAAACAACATTTTTTTACACTGTTGCTTCACAAACTTTATTCATTTTGAAGATATAGATTTACCCATGCACAGTATAAAAATAATTTTGATTTTTTTTTAGGCAAGGTTCATTTTTATTTTGTAAAAAGAAAATTTAGTGAGATGAATCAGGACTAAGGCTGATATATTGTTGTGGGTCAACAGAGGTCTGTTGCTAAGGGTTTCTGTTTTGCAGGGGCTGGTTGTAGGTCTTACTTCTTTTCTCTCTGTTACTGTAGGTCGTACTTTTTTTCCTTACACAAACTACACCTTTGTTGTGTTGAGCTTCTCTGCTCTGTACTCAAATACTGTGTGTGTGTGTGTCTTTCAGATTTGAATTATGTATGTGGTTGACGGGTGCTCTGGTGTGGTTTGCTTCTCCTTTCCTATCAAACATCTATCATCTTTATCTTCCCTCCTTTTTTGTGTTTGTTACTCCCTTGTAACACCTCTAATCTTTGGCACTTATATGACCTAATTGTGTTGCAAGTGCCGTAAAACTCTTACCCAAAAAAAAAGATTTAAATTTTGTGTCCAAATTTTTTGATGGTCTATTTTTTATATTTTTTTTAAATTTGAAAAATTTTTCATTTTTGACTCTGCAGCAGCAGACTTCGGCCAGTCATTGGGAGAGTTCGGACAGCGGCATGAGCGAGGCGGAGTTGGAGAACCAGCGCAGGATGTTGCTGCAACAGCTGCAGGATGACGCCTGAGACTACAAGTTCACACTTGTGTACATGGACTCACACATAGGGATATACACATACATAATACATATGGGACACACAAACCGTGGTGGTGCACACTCGCCCCTCCATACATGTAGGTAGGCTCATGTACAGTGATGTGCGAAGGAGCACATATGCATATTCACAAGCACACACGTGCAAACACACACACACACACACACGCACACACACACACACACACACACACACACACTGTGCTCATACACCTGATAGACACACACACAGACTTTCTGACACATGTGAGGCACCCAAGACGCTGATGGTTGTAACACTTTGCGCTGGACTCGGGGCATAAATAGTTATCTGAATACAGCTTGTATGGGTTAGATTTGGGAATGGGTGGGGGATGATTACAGTTCAGTTTGTGTAATGATAGGGTGTATGCTTGCGTGATGATATTTGTTGAATGTTGAAAGTTGCGCTGTGGAGCCTCTTTAATTTAAAAGTTCATATAGTGTTCAGCGTGGATGTTTTTTTAATAAGTTAAGTGTGCTTTTTCTGCCCAACTGTTAAGGCGCGTTATTTGTTTCAGTATGTGTTGCCCAATTCGACCTCGTTTTAATCACCACTTGTAAAAAAACAACAGCTGTCAGTTGTGAACTTTGTATGACTTGAAGTTCATTAAAGAATTGTTCACACCTCCCATGTGTGTGTATTGTTTTTTGTTTTTGTTTTGTATATATATAGCATCAATGGTTACTTATGATGTGTCCTACATGACAAATACGTTTCTTTCCCCCCAAGCTTTGAAGTGAAAACCACCAGCGTTTGTTGTGTAGCGGTCAGGCACTTTTCCTTCACAAGTGGAGGACCCGAGTTCCACTTCCTTGTTGGGGAATTTTTGTGATAGAAGTCCACTTTCTAAATTGACCTGAGTGGGTGATTGGCAGGTGCTCTGGTGTGGTTTTTTCCTTCTTTCCTAACATCTATCATTCTTATCTCTCCTCCTTCTTTTTTGTGTATGTTACTCTCTTGTAACACGTCTATTCTTCAGCACTTATGACCTTGTTATGTTGCAAGTGCGGTAAAACTCTTACTAAAACAAAACATAGAATGACCTATATTGTGTTGACAAGGGCGTAAAAACACTTACATTCGAGAAATCAGAGCACTATCTTCCAAACAGCCTCAGATCTCAATTATTAGAAAAATACCCACAGGTTATGTGCCCTTGTGAGTAAGCTTGGTTGTGTGGCAATTTCTATTGCGTGCTGAAACTTAAGACCATTTATTGTTTGACTCTTTGTCATTTCGGGGACAGTCATGGTTTTTGCTTCTTCTCGTAAACTACGTCGGTGGTTGGCGGGTGCTCAGGTGTGGTTTGCTTCTTCTTTCCTATCAAACATCTACTGTCCTTATGATATCTCTCCTTTAATAATAATAATAATAATTGCATTTATATAGCGCATATCCATGCTCAAGAGCTTGCTCTATGCGCTTTACAACTATTATTTTTTTGTGTTTGTTACTTTCTTGTAGCACCTGTAATCTTCGGCACTTATATATGACCTAATTGTGTTGCAAGTGCTGTAAAACTCTTATTAAAACACACACAATCTCATAACTTGCAGTTTGTTGAAGAGTACATAATATTAATAATAATACTACATGTAAATTCCAGGCTTCATCCCAAGACATGATGTCTTTTTTTTATTTTGGAGTATGTACATGTACAGTGCTCTTTGTGTCTTTCTTCTGTCACTGGTGTGCTGGGTAGCCCTTAGAGATCTAACAGACAGTGGATAGTGGTGGGTGCTCTGGTGTGGTTCACTCGTGTTTTTTTTTGGTAAGCGTTTTACGGCGCTCGCAACTGCATAAGGTCATATGAGCGCGCGGGACACACCT